CGGCAGTGTTGGAATATGATACGTACTTTTGCAATCCCTGCTGACTGTTCGGGAAGTGTCACCCAAGGCACGACACGGACTACGCATGTGACTGACTGGCAGGGAGAGCGGTAAGTTCTACCTGTAGGAGATCTCAGCCCAGTCAGCGCAGCAAAGATGCAATGGACGCTTGTGTTCACTCCCTCAGCGTAGCGCGCTCTTCCTCTAAACCTTACCGGTCGTGTTGGGCTTCCGGTTGCCAGCTTTACTCGAGCGACATTAAACTTTTCAAGCGAGCCACCGCAAGATCGAGCGATTTAGCGATGCCGGGTCTTGGATGTCTGATCGCTCTTGTTGTACTTCCTAGCAAAGCGTCGTATAACGTGTAGAACTACTAGCAAAATGAACGCATCATTGATCTCTTTACTATTGCAAGTAGCAACTGGGCAAAAGACTGCAACTATATATGATCAATATCAAATTCCCCAAAAACATCGCCATCGTCTTCATCAAAGTTCTCGTTGATCTCGTCACTGAAGGCGCCGTAATCGGTAGTGTCGACGGAATGATGACTCAGATCATCGCTCGAATGATCACTGATGTCAAGAAGGGCGTCATGATCCGTGGTGATGTCGTCCGACTCTCCGACCATCCCATCAATGATGCAGTCTGGCCATGTGTGATCCGGCAAGCCACCCGCTGTGGTTCGTTGAAAAACCTCAACGTCGTCGGTGCACCACATTCGGAGCTCGACCCACTCCTCCGTTTGCGGTTCGCCGCTTTGCCGGGTGCATTCCCACAGGTGATCTAGGCCGCCTTTCGAGAACCATCGTCGCGCAATAGTTCTAAGACGCTCTTCTTCTCGCTCGAGCAGCATCATCGCAGAGTCATCCTGCTCATCTAGTTGTAGTAATTGCTGGCGAACTTGCTGAAACCTCTTGCGACGGCTTATCAGCCACCGTCCAATGCGACGTACTTCCCATCCAAGTCGCTTGATTTCTTGCTGGCATCTTGCGCGAGACAATACTGCTGGAATGCCGACACGAACATCATCATCGTAGGCCCACGGCTCAGTGGGATGACTATATAATCCGTTGTTCCAGAGCGGCGTCAAGATGTCGAGTTTGAGCAGTTCGTTGAGATCCTCTGGGGCTGATGGCGGTACCCTTCGGGTTCTCAAGATCGAATGGGAATTCTGAGAATTGGCGAGGATGGCAGCATACTTTTTCACCTCGTCGTTATACATCGCCACTGCCTTCATGAGCCTTGGACGCAAAGAATTAAGATTCTTGACCAGGAGACCAGCCGCTTTCGTACCTATGAGCAGGCATTGCTACACATCAGCGTTCCTTCTGCCGGCGCAGAAGACTCGTACCACGAATTTCCTACCGAGGGCTTTACCGCCTAGGCGTGGGAGCCGCAGCCTCTCAGCTCCCTGTCGATATTGTACGACCAAGTCCCACAGTGAGCGAGATGCGACCATCAATGTGCAGGCAAATTCATAGTCTGTGCCAATCAAAGGTGTTGACATATTTAAGCGAGGACAAAGGGGATCACACCGGAGGGTCAGAATGCAAGAAGGGAGTGACGTACCAGGGTCCAGGACACTGATGTTCATTTCCGATGTGCGTAAGGAGTTTAGTCGATCATCAATAACCTGCCGTTGTTTGACCAGCTGTTGAAGTTTAGTCGACTGTTCTATAAGCTTGTTCGTATTTATGGTGTTCACGCAGGCTAGTTCTTCTCTGTAGCAATCGAAAAAGGAATACCGAAGTTAGGTCACCGGTTCGTGTCTCACTCCCAAACGACGACGATAGCTCAGACCCACCGGCATGCTGCGATATCTCTGTTAACCAGCTCAAGCTTGAACATGACGTTGCGCATCTCGGCTACCTCTTTGCGCTGTTCTTTCAGAGGGATCTGCTTGGACGCTGCACGTTGCGCGTGCCATTGTTCAAGGAGGGTAGCGACCGTCCATTCGGAGCGATTAACGACCTCAGTAATGACTCTGTCGGCTTCGGCCTTGAGCTTGATTGCGTTTTTTGAGTCGAGAATTAAGTTTGGTCACTGGGCATGATCGATACGCCAAATATCAGCGACATGGTAAGGTAGTGCATGAAAGACCGGAAGCTTAGGCGAACCAAGATCGGCCAGATGCTGCTTGTTATAAGCAGACGCTCGACGATTGATGTTCTCCAGCCGATGGGAGGCACTCGATGATCGATTCATGGGTATCATGCCTCGAAGCTGCGACCACAAGCGCTCAGTTCCCTCGCCATCAGTCAAACCAAAATTGGGTAGAAAGCGCGGATCAAAGTCAACCTGGCAGGACCACTTGTGCGCATAGACATGCATCGACGAGAGAGCAAATTCTAGACGCGGTAAGTGGTCTGCCAGAAGATTGCGCTGCGACACCGGGGAGAGATGAGCTGCTCAGCTACGGACTAAGCCAATGCTCAGGCTGAGTGTCACGAATAAACTCACTCGGCGTAAGTGCGACGATAAGTTGCAGGCGATATCATACGCGACTCCGACGCGACTTCGATCCTGACTCGAACTTTGGTGGGAGTCCGATCCCGAGCTGGATCCGACGTTTGTAGCGTCACTGGTACGCGCAGGCCCCGTAGTACAATCCGTTTCTCCGACCTCAACTTCTTCGAGAATCCATTTCAACAGCGACACCGGATATACTAACCTGCGGTAGACCAAACTAGCTTATTAGTGTCCTTGCCTGGAGTCACAGATAGCCAGTCCACACATACTTTTCACCTGATTGATGAAGGTTGCAAAGTCGCAGGCAATGATCATGACGGCACACTGCAGCAACGAGGCCTGTGTCGGCCACTACATTTGACGAAGCGGAGGTCACACCACCATCTGCGGCCTTCCAGTTGGCTGTGCATTCATCCTGTATAGGAGAATAGCTCGTTTAGCAATCACAGACAGTCGGGTCAACTCATTATTGGGTTCGGGTGACCCGACACCAGCAGCACCAAGGTACCTTCTCGCCCGCTTCAGTCGATCCATCGATCAAAGCTTGCTCGTTTCGAATCTTGTCTGGTGGCAGGAATAACGCTGGACGTGACTTGAGAGGATCAGCATTTGCCCGCGCGAATCGTCGATGCTGAAAATTGCCGTCGACAGCAATGATGACATCGAGGTCATTCTCGCTCTTGCCGGCTTCATCGATCCGAGGCCCAAAACATGCCGGACAAACGTCGGCCAGACGCTCGCGCGGGGAGAGGCCGAGAATTTCGGCGGTCAAAGTTGCCTGCAGCTGTTGCATAAATCGACATTCATCCATTGCGGCTTGAAGATGCTGACGCACGGTTGGACCCTGGGAAGCTTCCAATATATTCTGTAAGAAACAATGAATGTTTCCGGCCTGTCCCTGTCCAGAGCCCACCTTGTTAAAAGGATCCTCCGAGGATAATTCAGAGGACCAAAAGAGAATGAGCGCTTCGGACATGCCATAGATACCAAAAGGATCTACCCCCCAGTAGGTGTCGAGATATTCGATCGTGCGAAAGGTGAATGCGGTGATGCCTTCTCTTTTTCGGTTTGAAGATGACGACGTCGGGAGAAGACCGTGAGCTGCCAGGGTTTGGATCTCGGAATAGCATGGGCAGTATCGTAGTTCTCGCATGCCTGCTCATGGTTGGGGGATATCAAATCAGTCCAAGACGATAGCGTAGGGGTGGTTGACAAAAGATGTGCAACAGAAGCACCTACCTGCAAAGAACAGGTCGACAACCCGGACCTTTCTGGTGACTCGGCGTTCATGACATGCGTCGCACCACTCCTCGTCGTCCGGGGAAGGGACAAACCCGCTCTGTCGAAGCACTTCTTTGGCCTGTTTCTTCATCAATAGGTACGCCTGGAAAAGTTCAGGTCGTTTTGACGCCCTAGTCTTAGCTTCGGCCCTCGCAGTCCGGCGACGATTGCGCTGCTTCTTGGCGTTCCTCTCGATCCGCGATCGCTTAAGTGAAGAGGGCGCTTGGTCTTGAGAAGCACCGTCTGGGTGGAATGGCGAATGCTCCGGTCCAGATGAGTATCCACCACCGAAATCGCGACCGAAGTCGTAGTCGGGCTCAAAGTCGGGCGCGCTGTTAGGCTCGAAGTCGTGCTCGAAACCGCCGGTCTCGGTGTCTAGAGGCCACGCCGTTGCGCCATCGGCAATGTGAGTCCAAGGCTCGGACGATGATTTGTGGAGGCCGGCAATGGATTTCTTCGAATGCTCCTTCTCCTTCCGACGACGCGTTGACCTCTGGACCGATGGTGATGGGGGAGGGCTCGGCTGCCGTTTCGGACGCCTCTTCGTTGGAGAGCGGAAAGGAAAATACCGAAATTGAAGCCGAACGTCTTGTCGAACAGCTCGCTATCGGGCGACAACGATGGCTCCCTTTTCCGTACTCGCTTGGTCCATAATCTCCTCCTCTTCTTCTTCTTCGTCTTCGCCTCCTCCTCCGTTCCCACCGACGTCGTGGCCCCATTCTCGATCGTGTCCTTGTTGCTGCAGGTCACCTTCTTCCTCCTCCTCCTCACGGTCGTGCTCTTCTTGCGCTTGGTCTTGTCAGTGCGTTTTGATGCTGAGCTAGGTTGTAGAGGTGGTGGTGTGTGTGGTAAGATGTCCATGCTTGAAGCGATGGGTGCAAGCTTGCAAGGCCTTGGGTGGAGGGAAGTGGGGGGAACTCGTGGTGCTGAGGCAGATGGACCGTTAGCGGGGATAAGTAGCAAGTGCCCGAATTAGTGACCAGTTTTGCCTCCGGGGGCTGGGGGTTGGCAGGGGAATCCTGTACCAACGTTTTCCTGGGCCAAATCTCGAAAAAGCTCCCTAAACTCGCCGCGCGCGGGGTAGTATATTTGTTAGGCTTATTTTGACCCGCATAGGTGGCTGGGCCAAGCCACGTTGATCATAGAGACAGTCGTAGCGCCCGTGACTCGGTGTCTTTGACAGCTTCTTTTCCGACTCCGGCTCGCTCCTTAACCTCGGATCCCATCTATCCTCGCAGTTTGACAGTATGGTGAGCTGAACTACTATCTTGAACCACTCGTCGTATCGTTCTAGCTGCTGATCGTTCGGGCCCCGCCATCTGATCGTTCGGACCCCCGCCCCCACTCGACCCATCCCCGCAGGCCACGGATACTAAGCCTCTCCACATTGCCTGCATCCTGTTCCCGGGCTTCCAGCTCCTCGATGTTTGCGGTAAGTCTCACGATCAAGTGCGTGGTCGTCTTCACTTGGTGTCTCCGGATCCTGAGTGAAGCACGCATATCGTCTCCCCCTCAGGCCCTCTGGATCTCCTGAACGTCTTGTCGCGTACCCAGCCTATGAAACTCTCTATGCTGGCCTCATCCATGGATCCGGTCTCGACCTTCACCAAAGTTGCCGCCAACGAGAACCACCAATCCCTCTCCCCCACCCACACCTTCTCCTCCCCTCCTTCGGAACCCATCGACGTCCTCTTCGTTCCAGGAGGCTTCGGCTGTCGCGCAGATTTGACTGAAGCCGAGGAGTTCCTCAAGGCTCGATTTGAAACGTGCCAATAATTGTTGACCGTATGCACGGGATCTGCATTGAGTGCTCGCACGGGTATCTTGGACGGGAAGAAAGCGACGAGTAACAAAAAGTCGTTCGAATGGGTCAAGACTCAAGGGCCCAAGGTCGAATGGATCCGGAAGGCTCGATGGGTCGCGGACGGTCGTTGCTGGACGAGTAGTGGTGTAGCCGCTGGGATGGACATGACGCTAGGATGGGTCAAACACGTCTATGGCGAGAACGTCGCCAAGCAAACGGCGAATTTCATCGAATACGAATGGAACGAGGACTCGGAGAAGGACAGGTTTGCCGATCTCTACCTTTAGGATCCAATCAGAACCCTTGACTTGGTATGCAGTGAGTATGCATTATAGTACATCACAGAACAAAGTGGTAGTCTGAACGACAGTATGCAGTGGGATATATGCGAATACAAAAGGGCCGCTCACAGCGAGGGGAGTCGTGCGCGACAAATCGGACACACCGACTTGACCGCGATCCAGCTCTCCATACACTCCGTATGCATCAAGTGATGACATGGCGGGACCATGTAACTCCACCTCAACTTGTTTCTCGTCCCGGAGTCGGCCTCCTCTTCCTTAGTCGGGTGGATCTGAATTGACGAAAGGCAGATCGGGCAGTCTTCGGAATGGTAGGGCGAGATCGCGTAAACGGACGTTTCGAGATCCATGGAAGTGGGGATGGGGTGATAGTCCCAGGTTTCGAGCTCAGCGAGGTGCAAGGCGTCAATTGCTCTCGTAGGGAGGAAGAAGCGCGCCCCGAAACGCGAATCTTGAACGACCAGGATCGCGGCTTGGCCCACCGAGTACAGCACGAGCAGCAGGACCCAGGCTGAAGGAAAGAGGTCACGCGTTCTGATCAGCCCCAGACGTCAACGCCCCATAATCAACAGTCAAAAGAGCTCACGAGTCGTTTCGATCGCAAAGACGTTGCCCTTGTAGCCCCAGAAGTAGCATGGCATGACGAGCCGGCCCAGAGTGGTGACGATGACATATTCTCGTCGCAGCGACCCTCGGGCCGCTCCTCGCTGAACATTCACAATGATTTGTGGGACTGCGACAGCGAAGTGTTTTGTGTCAGTCAGAGACATCGAGAGACCAAGTCCATCCTTGAAGACGCACTCCAGTAAGAATAAGCGAGCAGAGTAATCAGAACGACCCAACCGAAGAACCAGACGACCGTTCCAAACGCGATCGCTATCGAAATGCCGATGCCGACTGCGCGTGCCCAAGAGAGCCTTAAGTTAGCCCTGCTCAGTGTTCGAATTCGGTTATCGCATGGACAGACGCACCAAGATAGGAATCCGAGACGCCTCCGGGCGCTGGAGTCGACGGCGCGGTAGTTGTCGCTGCGGGCAACAATGGAGTCGCCACATTTGCCTCATCGTTGCCCGCGCTGGCCTCGCCTGCTGCCTCTGCAGCAGCCCTTCTCTCAGCAGCTCGTGCGGCAAGCTCTTCGACGGTTGGGGCTGGCGGCGGCGGTGGCGGTGCAGGTCTAGAAGGTGGCGGCGGCGTGGCATTGCGGATCTCGGTGGCGTACCGCATGCTGAAAATAAGGGAGGAGATGAGAGCGAAGAATGCCGGCACCATAAACGGGAGGGATGCACGCGTGTCTGTATACATGACAGCTTCTGTCAGAACCGACTCGGTTAAATCACCACTTTGACCAACGTACCCGTGACAAGCGCGACGGTGAAAGCAGTAACCTAAGCACCAAATCGGACCGCGTCAGCCGCCGAACCGACCGTGCTCGATGCCTCATCCAGACTCACAAAGAAGTAGGCATCCAACGAAGTCTGCACTCCGATCGTAAAGTACGCCACTTTCCCTGCATGTCCCGGAGCCCCTCTATCCATCTGGCGCGCTAAGACCCAGGCCATAAGCATCTGCGTGAAGCCCATCAGGACGGCAAAGGTCGTTCCGTATTCCCACAAACGAGGTGTGGTCAAGAGCTCGGCCTGGCCGGAGACGACGAGGCCACAGTTCTCGGAATAGAGTTTGTAGGTGATCTGAGGAGGAGGTGGGGGTTTCAGACTGGAGCCCGTGGGGTGCCAAAGAGATGCGTAGTATTCGGCATAAAGGGGTGCGCTGTAGTGGGGCGGTAAGGGCGCCAGTGATCCATAAAAGGTAAAGATGCACTGCGGACCTTGCGGTGCGGCTGTTTAATTGTGCAGCCCCAAGTCAGTAAGGAGAGGAGTGATCAAGCTACCAGTATGGAAGGAAAGACGTACATTTCTCTTCCTGTGGCCGCTGAGATTCATTGTCGAGCGTCTCCTCCAAGTCCTCCCTTTCCCGAGCGATCCTCCGATCGAGCTCCTTGAGTATCGTGTGCCCAGCGGCAAGCTGCTTCCACTGCTCTCCATCGCGACGTTCTAAAGTCTTGGCCAAACCGACGAGATCAAACATGTGACTTCTGACCCAAGAAGGTGTTGCGTAGCCAACCATGGTCCCATCTTCGAGGTAATGCACGGCCTCGATGTCGAAACGAGCTTCTTCGATCTTATCCGCATCCGTCAAGGTGATCTCGCCGCGCAGAAACGTTGTCGGTCCAACTTGTTCCCATTCTTGTCTCCGAGCCTCGGGATCGATGCGCAAAAGCTGGCCTGACTCGGTGCTTGCGATGACGGACCCGGGCGCGGTCGACTGGTATTCGCGCAGATCGAGAAGCACTCGACCTCCCGTCTCGAAGGCGAACTTGTTGCGCAGGACGGTGCGATTCATCACGGTCGTGACGTTCTCCCAGGTCACGTTCTTCTCTGGCACCTCGGTTGCGGGAATTTCAGCCTGTCGCCTCCGTAGCCGAGCCCGTGCCGCTTCTTGTGCCGCTGCTCCGACCGAGTCAGGCTGTTCGGAGATGCCGTCCATGAGAATCGGCCCATCTGTGAGCTCGACTTCCTCGACCCGTTGCCGTGTCGTGACATTCCACGTCTCTGGTAACCCCAACCTCTCGAGCGTCCAATCCTTGTCCATTTCCCAATCCCCCCTCGCCATCCCCGTCAAATTCTGATGGTAGTAAGCCATGCCCAACTCATCCGGCTGCCTCCGTACAAGAGCCTCAATCTCGCTACTCAACACCTCATTGATCGCTTCCTTGGGGACGAACTGGATCACCTCGTTCGGTTCCGAGTCATTGTACAACCCTGTCATGTTCAACTTGTCATCCAACAAGGTGCGATTGTACCGATCGACGTGTAACCAATCGGCCAGACCATCGCGTTTGTCCTCCTTCCTCTTCAAGGAGGAGCGTAAGGCGTCGAACGTCGATTTGTCCGTCACAGGTTCGCGAATGCCGTCGTTACCGGAAGACATCATGAAGAAGAGGAGCGACATCATGATGAGGTACGAGAGGGAGGGTCGTTGTTGGCCGACGACGCGGGCTGGTGCGGGGGGAGGCGGTGGTGGTGGTGGTGGTCCCGGTCCCGATCGCGCGGCTGCTGTCGCTGCTGCTGGCGGTGGCGCGCCATTGGTGGGTGTAGTGACGGGCAGGGGGAGATCCATTTTGGACCAAGCTCAGGGATACGGACAAACCCAGATTGTCCCCGAGTGCCACGTTCCCCAAGTCTCTGTCGCACGAGTTGGCGCGATGACTCGAGCCGATGACCCACGTGACGTGACGTGACGTGACGTGGGAGAGAGAGAGCGAGAGAGACGGCAGCGGCCTGCCGCGCCATCGGCTCATCGGAGCGGGCGGCTTCAATTTTCCCAAAGAAAAAGTCAGTGCATCACATTCCACTACATACTGCTCTATGTATTACACTACACCTTCTCCAAACCCTCACCAAACCGTCTACACTTAGCAGTCAACGCCTGAGCCCAAATTTCGACCGCCTCGTCATCGCCCAATTTCAACGCGCTTCGCCGCTTGACATCCTTGACAACACTCGCGACGAGCAAATCAAAGACCCCACCCGAACTCTGTCCCTCATGGACCAATTCATTCTCGATCAACTCGTACGCTTTCAAAGCTCCCCCTATCCAAGAGCCCAACTTGGTCGCGTTAAGAAGGTCAATCGACATCGACGGCAGATCTTGCAAGATGAATGAGGTGAATCGAGCCGCGTAAGCATCGACGAGGTCAGTAGAATGCGAAGGGACGAGCAGGATCGTCTTGGCGAGTCGGGTGATCCTCATTTCGTCGATCCGTGAAGAAGAAGGGGGCGAGGAGTTCAAGAGTGTGTAGAGCATGATCGTCAAGGAGGACGAGTAGATCGTTCGATCGAAGGACAGGTCGAACGCAGCCGCGATCTCAGATGAAGGGGAGGGAGTCGCATGCGCTTTGGCACCGACCACAGCTTTTCGATAAGGCTGAATCAGGGACTGAACTCGCTTAACGTCAATGATCGTCGATGTCGTCGAAGGAAGTCGATGTACGAGCGTCGCCAAGTCCGAAGCGACTAGTTCCACGATCGTTTTGGGCAGCGACTCGGAAAAGATGAGTACCGACAGGATATCGAGCATCATGATTTGGTAGTCACCCGTTCTAGAAGAAACAACACATCAGTATCTGCGCGATTGAGTTTGAGTTGGGGATATCGTTCAAACTCACGGTGTCCGTTCGATTTCCCCTACGAGCCATTTCAACACCCCAGGCAACGTAAAGCTAAGCAATCCTTGCAAGAGGAAGGAAAGCCCATCCCGCAGCTGCTCCGCATCAATCACACCGGCATGACACGCGGCCAGGCTCTGCTTCGCGACCGTCGGCAAGACCTTGAGCAACGTCCTCGGATTCGTCTGATGCATCAATTCGTCCGAGATACCGTCACCGAAGAGAGCCTGGATCCAACCGTTGACGGTCGCCTTGGCATCATCGTCCAGGGAGATGAGCGAATATGTCGCGGAGATGGAGGGTAGCCATTGCACGAGAAACCCGCGCCGCGAGCCGAGATGGTAAGAAAGATCGGTTTGGAGACCATGGCGGCTGACGACGACTTGTAGGAAGAGCAAGACGACCCCATACCCTGTTGACGGATCGTCGTAGCCCAGGTTCTCGAGAGATGAGCCGAATGTATCCAAGAGGGAGCGGATTGGGGAGAGGACCAGGAAAGGTTGGACGTGGAGGAACACGATCGAAAGGATCGAGGGCTGCTCGACGAGGACGGAACATATACTCGAGAGCCCGGGGATGTCGACGCTCGACGCCAAGGATGAGACGGCTTCCACCAGGGAATCAGAGATCGCGCGATGCGATGCGGAACCGTGTGTCTCGAGCGAAGCGAACACTTCTCGGACAGAGTCGATCGAGCCACTCATCAGCTGAGCGGTAGTCGACGGGAAGGAGGAAGGGACCAGCTGTGATTGGTGCAAGGAAGGCGACAGGCTCGCTGCGAGGTCGGTAGAGATGAGCTCGTGCTGACACAACCCAGCGACGAGGGCGTCAAGTACGGGCCGGGTCGTTGCCCCGTCGAGAGCCATCGCATCCTCGCTCTCCGTTCTTGTCGAGTCCGAGAACAGGCGCACACTCGAATCGAAAGCTGATCGTACGAGATCGGGTGATCCCGGCACATCCACCTTGCGGTTCGCAGCGATGTTACGCAGGAGCTCGGGCAGTCGCGAATAGGCGAAGCTTGCTTGTCGAGTGAACTTGCCGACGCTCTCCCTCTGGTCGACCGTCGCTGCCAGAAATAGCTCGAGGAAAGCCCTCGACAGTGCTTGCTCATGGGTGCTGCCGCGGGCGTCGGTTTGAGCGAGACGATCCTTGAGCAAGGCTACGATGCGAGCCGTGGCTACGGGAGTGTTGGCGATGCCGACCGAGGTGTGACCGCGATAGGACTGGGGTTGCCAAGCGCAAAGGATGAGTTCATTGTACACCTGTTATTGAGGAATGTCTGACTCACCAAGTCCCAGATGAGGAAGGCAATGTCGGGATCGGCCTGAGTTGTCGGTACTAGATCAAGACTGTTCGTGGGTCGAGGCGAGGCAATGCGCGCTCGAGGAACGACGGGCAGTTTTGAGGTGACTTCACCCTTTGGACTCAGCGCGTTCTTGAGTTCGAGAAGCGTGCGTTGGAGGTCTGTGGATATCCGTGCAGCGGTTGGGTCGACGTGCAACTGCTGCAATGTTGAGACGCAGGCATCGAGGCGGGCGAGCGTCGCACCGAGTCGCTGCGGGTCTATTCCAGCCAGATTGAACGGGATGAGAGATCGTTGTAGGAATGTCGAGATGTAAGACACTGTCGGGGACTGCAGCGTCAATTCACCCGGTGTCGAATCGGCCGTCCCGAGTCGAGAGATCCTCCCGAGTGCCCAGTCGAGCGCATCCACGAGCTCATCGGCGTTGAGCACAGCGTAGGTCGGTGTATCCGGTGCAGCCGTTGACAAGGTCTTGTTGATCACGTCAAAGGCTTTGTCGAGGGCAATGGAGTTAATCGAGCAGCGTGTCAGCCTGGCGGCAAAGAAGCCGACGCGCACGAGTGATGGCGCGAATTGGGCTACAGAAGTCGAGGGCGTAACAGCCGACTGCACATAGTCAACGATGAGTGGTGACGGCGTTGAAGTCGAGTCGGCCAACAGTTGCAGCAAGGCGTCTACGCGCGTGAAAGGGTGGGGCGGGTCAAGGGGTCAAGGGGTTAGCTCGCTGTGGGGTAGGTCCCAGGGCCAAATCACCGGAGATGCAGGCGATGCAGCACGGTTACGACTTGCCACATATTTGCTGCTCAACTTCGACGGGTGGGAGTGAACCAGTGGCTGTCTGCGCCACGAGCTGCTGCCACTGAGAGCAGAAGTCCACAAGGCGAGCGTGAGCTGTCAGTCGCGGACAGCTGATGACATGACGACAAGACTTACAGAAGACGGTGGCACCCCTTTGACCCAGCAAGCTCTGGTAATAAGGCCCAAGTTCTTGTGCGCCGAGCCTGCCATTGGATCGGCGACCCTTCTCGCACCCGACCCCTCCGAGTCGTTTGCGCTGGGTGGGGAGGCTGTGAATAGGGGGTGCGCAACGGGCGATCGCCTGCTGATGTGGTGCCGGCCGTGGGCGCTTCGACGAAGCCGCTCGCCGCTCGCCGATCGCGATTTGGCGATTGTCAATCGCGATTCGCGCGTCACCGCGTCACCGACGATTCACCGTGAGCGTGTGACTCAAGCGCCCGCGCGACCTTGCGCTTGTGGCAGGCTAACCTGCGCCCAAAATCCCTCGCATAGCAGCGCAGTTAGCAGCGCATAGCCCTGCCAGGCCGGCCCTGCCAGAGTCGGCCCTCCGTCTCGTTCCCTCCCCCCTCCGCAACGCGCTCCTCCTCGCACTCGCCACTCTTGTACGTCCCTCCGCTCGTATGGTGGTGGTGCCTAGTGCCCAACTGACCGTCCATCTCTGAACATGCTATGACCTCCAGGCATCGCTTGGTGCACGTTCTGCGCGGATCGAGCCACACAGTACCCCGGGCCGTCGTCGTTTTCCAAGCGACGCCCTCCACCGCCCACGATACCTTGCGTTAAGCGGCTACACGACTTCCTGCACCGGTCTCTTCGCCATCCGGCCGGAGAACCCTTACCTCAGAAGCCACCCTAAGTCGGCTTCTACTTCGTCCAAGCTCCACCACAAGCTGTTTCCCGAGGTTTTTTTTTGTGTGAGTGGCCCCTCCCCCCCTTCCGCCCCTCTCTCTGGGCTTGGCCCCACCACCGGCGGGCCTGCCAAAACAAGCGCTGTGCTCGACGCAACTTCGGTCTCCGATGATCCTCGCTGCAGCGTCCATCTCTCGGGGCAATCTGAACCATTGGAACGGGTGCACTGACTTTGATTGGTCTCTACCACCCCTCTCACCACTCTGGTTCGCACCGCTGCTCGCTCCGTCAAATTCATCTTCATTCGATGCGCTTAATCGACCGGTCCTCCCTTCTGCTCGAACCCACCTCCTCGACCGTTCACGATCCCATTCGATGACCGCCTCGCCACAGCCGCCTCCATTCTATACCGTTCCCTCAACTTGCTCACTCGTAGGGGAGTGAGCACTAGCAGCCGCATCAGTTGTTCATAAAAAAGAGGCGCCAGGGCCGCCTCGCTCGATTCACATCGAGACCTTAGCCGCATTCGACGGTACCCTCCAGCACCTCCCATATCCCTCTTTTTTCTCTTCCCCCTCTCCCTTCCGCCCCGCTGGCCCACTTCCTCCCCCATAATCAACGTCATCGCACGTCCCCCGCTGCTTCGATCAACCCGACGTCGCCTGCACCCGCTTACGCGCATAGCTACGACTCGTCAGACGACCTCCCCACTTCGATCGCCAACGCCAACGTGACCGCTATGACTGCCATCGCCATCCCGATCCCCTCCTCGTTCGGCCCAGAGCACCACGATGGCTTCGCCGCTGCGCTCTCCCGCTCCCCTTACTCGCGCTCGCCCTTCAGACGCTGCTCGCTCTCGAGCTCGGCCTCGTCCCCCGCCAAGGCGAGCTTCCTCGCCTCGAACGCGCACCACCTCCACGCCGGCTCCGACATCAGCGGCATTGGATCGACCAAGGTCGTGCTCCCCGCCGTCGCAGCTGCCGTCGATGTGGCCGCGCAGTCTCAGCTCGTGCGACCCACCCCGGTCGTGCCCGCCTTCGACCCTCTCCCCAGCATCCACTCGGGCTCCTTCATCGAGAACTTCCGCCAGGCACTGCTTGACATCGACATCGACGAATGCGACGCACATGGCGAGAACGCCTTCTTTGTATGCGACCTCGGCCAAGTGTTTAAGCAGCACCAGAGGTGGATGAAGGAGTTGGGTGCGCGCGTGCAGCCCTTCTTTGGTAAGCTGCCGCTGACTTTTGAAAATATTATTTCCGGAACTTCGTGCTGATCTCTTCTTTGCCTACTACAACAGCCGTCAAGTCCAACCCCGACCCTTACGTCCTTCGCTTGATGGCTTCGCTCGGCCTCGGCTTCGACTGCGCCTCGCAGCCCGAAATATCTGCCGTCTTATCCTTGCCCAACCGCCCCGACCCCAACCGCATCATCTATGCCAACCCCTGCAAGGCCGCCTCGTTCGTGCGCCATGCCGCCAAGAACGGTGTCGACTACATGACCTTTGACAACGGTGACGAGCTGGCCAAGGTCAAGCGTTACCACCCCAACGCCAAGATGGTCCTGCGCATCCTCACCGACGACTCGTCGAGCTTGTGCCGATTGGGTCTCAAGTTTGGTGCGCCCCTCAGTGAAGTGCGAGGGTTGCTCAAGAAGGCCAAGGAGCTCGACATCAACGTCGTCGGCATCAGCTTCCACTGCGGCAGCGGTTGCAAGGACCCCGAGTTGTTTGGCGACGCCATCCGCCGCGCGCGCTGGGCCTTCGACGTTGGAGTTGAGCATGGCTTCAACTTTGGCCTGCTCGACATCGGCGGCGGTTTCGAAGACAACAACTTCGAGCTCATCGCCGCGGTGTTGCGCAAGGCCATCGCCGAGCACTTCCCTCTCGACGCTCAAGGCAACGGGGTGCGCATCATCGCCGAGCCGGGGCGCTACTACGTCTCCCGCGCCTTTGAGTTGGCGACCAACATCATCGCTCGTCGCGCCGCTCGCGACGGCACCAACGCTGAGTCCGACATGGTCGGCCCTGGCCACGTCGCCGACTTTGAGATGGAAGAGGACGAGAAAGAGGGCGAGGGCGAGCCCGTTGTCATGTACTACATCAACGACGGCGTCTACGGCGCCTTCAACTGCACGCTCTTCGACCACCAGGTCGTCCACCCCAAGGTCTTAACCCTGGGCGACGACTTTGTCGCCGACGCTGCCTCGATCGACAGTACCCTCGAAGAGTGCTCCGTCTGGGGCCCCACGTGCGACTCGATCGATCTCGTCCAGCCCAAGGCACAATTGCCCGTCAACGTCCTCGCCGTCGGCGACTGGCTGCGTTGGGAAGAGATGGGCGCCTACACTATCTGCGCCGCGAGTCAGTTCAATGGCTTCCGCAAAAGCTTGGTCCGTTACACGATCGATGCCGATGTCCAGACGGAGGCCGTGATCCGTCGCCTGATCAACAACTAGAGATTGACTTTCAAGATTTGTGCTTTCCTCGCGCCACCTCCACAACTCCCGATTTTCCGAGAGGCGCTTCGTTCCCTCGTCTTGTTCGTTTCTCGTCTCGCCCACATTAAACTGTTGTTTTCATGGATACTCCTATTACCTTTCTCCTTTTCCAACATTGGACCACTGCAAGTCGATGACACCCATTTTCTTTACCCACACCAACGCGACTTTCTTCAACTATTGATTGCGACTTTTCGAACCCGGGGCGTGGTCTCATCCTCTCGCCTTGGCATACACGACATCCCGGTCTCGAAGTCTCGCTGCTGCCCCCCCGCCCCCCCCCCCCAAAAAAAATGATCGCAAATTCCGTTCCACTCCCTTCCTTCGTCCAACCAACGTATATGATGTTCACTACTATCACCCTCCCATCCTCCGTCATCACGCCTGGTAGAGCTCATTCTGTTTGATCAATTCTCCATGCACCCACGTAGTTTACTTAATGATGCAAAGTCACATAGCATTCTTCCGAGGCCGATCTACTTCATCTATGCGCTTGATTCGTACATTGCTGCCCTGCATGATTCGTACACAACTACTCTGAAGAGTCGGCCCCGCGGAAAGAACGTCATGGAAGCTCGGAGATGAATCGGGTTCAGGGTGCTGGCCGCCCAATGTCACCTTCGTCCGTGGTCCCGGCTTCTGTTCGACGTTGATGTTGTTCTAGTTCTTGCTCGTTCCTCTTGGCTTCCAACCTGATCTGATTCCTCTTGCCCAAGACCCTCAGCACTCGACTGCGTTCGAGCTCATCCATCTCTGCCCAGTTCCCGATTCGGCTCAGCGCTGCAAGACAGAGCCTGTAATTAGCCAGACCGAACCTCACCCACACAAACACTCGAGAGGTTAATGAAGGTACTCACTCCCATCAGAGGCCACAATCGTCGGTCCCAGACGTTCATAAAGCGAATAGGATTCCCCCGTTGAGACATTCAAACGGATCGGATCATCCGCCGACCTCGTTTCAGGAGCGGGAAGCGCCAACATTGGTGTGGTGGATGATGAGGTCGAATTGGTAGGGGACGTTTGTTCAGAAGACGAAGTTTCAGTCGTAGGTTCTTGAAGTGAGGTCATTTGTAATCGACAGCGGGTAAAGTGAGAGTGCGCGCTGCTGCTCGACATTCCAGTACGGTTAATCCTCGGACTCTGTTCTACCCAAACAATGAGAAAACAAAGAAGAGGACACCAGTCGGAGTCGCTGTGCAACGCGGCCTGATACGTGCACGTGAGAAAAAAAAACTAAAAAAGCAAACACAGCGAACCCCCACACACCCCATTTCCGCTCCATCATCCCCATCCTCGAGTCTGCAGACCTGTCCCGCCGCAGTGCCACTGGGGAGTTTGCTTCTTGTTTTCAGGTAGACTACTTCCAGGATCCAATTTTTTTTTACTCGTCTCTCGTTTTTTGCCAATTTCAGCTCGACGTCCGCAAGTCTGACACGCGTCGTTGGCACGTCGTGTGCAAGATTGTCCAAGATCCTCCGTGCGCCTTCTCTGCCACTGCTGTTTCCAAAGGAGAAGGCGGTGTTTGGACCATCACTGTCTTCAACGAAGCCGCGTGTCCGACTTGCGAACATCGAGCTGAAACTGGTGATCGAGGGCATATCGATAGCCTGCATCCGTGAGCTCCTTCTTTTCGTAGAAGATTTCCCCTTTCTTGAAACGATGTTCCATTGTCGAAAGCCGGTGTTGACTTCGGTGTCGGGACGAAAGTGCGGAAGGAGGCCAACGTCGATTCGCGAACTATCGCGCCTCGACGCGTCGACGATCGACTAGACCCCTGACAAAGTTTGTGACCGTGATAACTGACTTCTCACGGCATCTCTGGAGATTCTGAATATACGGCGCTGATCACAACGACTACAAGAAGCTACCCTCTTGGTTGCGAGCTGACATATCAAGTGTTACCTAAGTCGAGAATCCGAGGGCATTTTTGTCCTTTCGCTATCTTTCGAGGGCATGTTTGTCTTTGTCTCTTGTGTTTGCTCGGCTCAGGAAACGGAGCGCGCAATTGGGGGGCGGCCACGCGCGACGGAGCCCGAACGTCTTCGATTGAAGCCGTGAATTTTGACACCGCTGGCACTCGTTCGATGCCGAGCATAGAGCCATGAGGAAAGAAGCGACACTCGGTTGAAGAATGCAGGCTTAAATCTTCCTTTTCGCCACTGAAAGCCTCTTGCCATTTCAATGGCCATACAAGCCATTGCCAATTTGCCACTTCTCCGACGGCGAATGACGCGCGCGGCCGGGTTCGACTTTTTGGCCCAGCGCGCGACCAGATTCAGAGGGGAGGCTGGCGGGGTTGGCTGCGTCAGCGCGCCGACTGTGCGCTGCGGCTTCTTTCAGGCTAGACTTATTGGGTCCGTGCGCGCGCGCGCAGGCGCAAAAAAGGCGGATGGCGCGCCTTCTCCGCACGCGCCATTTCTCTCCATCGCGCTCAACCGTGCTGGTCTCGGTCTCGGATCCTACACCGCTGATGCGAAGGCGACCCCGAGATGGAATGACTCGGCATCCGATGGGCCACCCATCTCTCTCCCTCCTCCCCATCACTTGCACCAAACTCTCGAGATCAGACTTCGTCACAGTACCTCTGCCCTCGCTCCTGACTCACCGTCGCCGCTCATCCAACATCAAAGCTGCGCTTCCTCCCCCCCCCCACCTACGCACCCCACCGAGCCCGTCGCAGCAACGTCTTCGCCATGCTTCCCGCGTCCATCTTCGTCTTGTGCATGACCGTCTTGGCCCCGGTGGCCAGCGCCCTTCCTCTGCCTTCGATGGCAAGGCAAATTCCCTTCGGCATCAAGTTCAGTCGACCACCCGCACCCAAGGGTGGCTTCTTCAACCCTCCGCGCCCTCGCCCCTCGAGCCACCACATGGCCGTGCTGCGCATCCTCGAAGACGATGATGACCTCAACCTACTGGCCCAACCGAGCTTCGCTCTCGAACTCGATGTTGTCACTTCTTCTCCTTCGATGACGACGACGACCCCTACCACCGTTCCCGTCATTGCCGACACCCCTACCGCCGTCATCAAGACCAAGAAGCGCAAGGACAGCCTCGACGACGGCTCCATCTTTTCCGACATGCTCATGGGCCCTGGTGGCTACGCAGCACTCGAGACAGCGCGCGTCGCCATCGCTTCACCGATGTACTCGGGTCGTCGCATTCCCGTTCGCGAGATCGGCAGCCACAACCGACGAGAAGCCAAGAAGCAACGACGAATCCTCGCCAACATGATCGCAACCTCGACGATCGAAGAGGCTGGACCTACTTCATCGCCGGTCGCAGGGGTTGAGTTTGATGGTGTCACCCTACCTCAAGCACCCGAGGCCGTTCAGACTCCGACCTTCCACTTTATGAACCACGGGCCCGTCATCACTGCGACTGTGGTTTAGGTGAATCACCTCAATAACATTCCTGAGCGATGTCGTAAGCCTGCCTCTTCCCTCAGCCTTGCACACCACATCATGCCCACATGACTGACCCTCTTCGCACTACCTTCTACGCTCTCAGACATTCACGCTATATGACGAGCACACGCTCTGACGCCCTTCAGGCCGCGACCTCTCGATGAGGCGCCGTTGAACCTACCTTCGAATTTTCGCCGATCGCCGGCTGGCGGGTTTTGATGACCCCCATTCGAACCCAAGCGACTCGTGCCTCTCACGTTTTAACGACTATCGTTGATCGATTGACGACCAATCATTCGAACCCAAGCGACTCGTGCCTCTCACGTTTTAACGTCTATCGTTGATCGATTGACGACCAATCATTCGAACGCATCCGCTAGGGGATCTCCTCAAGGCTCCGCTCTCGAAGAGTGGTCCGCCACCCCGAATCGATTGTTTCCGCGCCGCAACGGATTTGCGCGCTCTCTCTCATGTGACGCTTTGATTAGTAGTACTTGATGATGATGCAGGCCAGACCCTATCAGGGTGGCATTTTATTAATGCAGTGATGATGGCTTGATGCCCCATGAACTTCTCCATGTCTGAGCCATGCCAATACCCGAGAGAGAATTTGCTGCAAAGCTTAGAATCGCCTGGAACTGCCGATTCTACCTGATCACGCCCGGGTGAGTAGGAGTGAAAAGGCCGAGCGAGCGGGCCGAGAGGAGGGGGTCCAAGCTCACCGGTGTCCGGCTCCGCGGACCTTTGCACCTGATTCTTTGTTACCGCTCGTCTCGACTGGCCCCCCATTACGGTCGTCTTTTTGTCGTCTTCCTTCGCCACAGTCTCCTCTTGAGCTACTCCAGAATGAACGCTCCAAATGAAGCAGGCACGACACCGATTCCGGCCGAGAAACGCCATCTCGCCTTGGCGAGCAGGGCGAAGCCGGTGCGGATGAACCTCATGCTCTTGCTCCACATGATCTTTGTCGTGTTGCCTTATGCGTGTAAGCAGACACTATTAACAGCTGGCTCGCTTGCAGTGGGATATGGTGCTAGATCATTTGGCTGACGCTCGGAGTTTCCCTTTGCATTCTGCCTTCTGAATGCGTGACGCCCCCACCCATCACTGCATCCCCGATCGCCGGCCTACTCGCGATCCCGACGGCCGGTTTGTGAAATCTCTGCCCAACCTCGACACGCGTCTTTTTCTCCAATAATCGCATCCTCGATGAAATCAACAAACGGATCATTTCAGTCGTCAAACTGCCCCTCGAAATCATCCTGTCACACATCATCCTTCGCTTCCGATCCAAGATGGTGCACCTCATCGGTCGACCTTGGTACGCGGACTACGTTCGTCGTTTAACCCAATTCGTCCTCTCTCGAACGACGACTGCGCAGGCTCGTGTGATTTTCAATCGTACGAATGCCTACACGCTCGCCTATGCCGGTGTCGCCTTCATCGGATACAAGGATTGGGTCACGCAAATTTCGGTCAACGGCACCACGGGTAGGTGGCTGGCCCCTCCGGGATCGAAGAGAAGCGAGGACGAAGTCGTTTTGTACATGATACACGGCAAGTGCTACTCAAATTATCTGATCACGTATCATCCTTCTCGAGCCAACCAAATCACCCAATGTCTATGCAGGTGGTGGCTTCTTGCTCGATACTGGGGGTAACACGCAGAACTATTTCCTGTACCTCGCGAAGGAGCTCAACCTCCGTCGCAAGGTCAAGTTCTCCATCTTCCAGCTCGACTATGGTAGGTTGATCAACTCCCTCCCGGCCAATTACTTTGTTTGGGCCGCTGATTGTGTTGAACATACCCTGGCACTGATTCACGAATGACTAATTCACACAGAACTGGCGCCAGAGTTCGTCTTCCCCAGTCAGCTCATCGAGGTGCAAGCTGGTTACCATTACCTCGTCAACAACCAAGGCATTGATCCCAAGAAGATCGTAGTCGCAGGAGATTCGGCTGGTCAGTCCTTTGCAGAACTTCTTCTTCCACCACCCTGCGCCGGGCTGACGCAAAAAACAAAACAAAAAACTTCTCATGCAGGCGGCAATCTGGCTACGACGTGGCTGCTCCATGTTGCTCGTCCCTGCTCATCGATCACAGTTCCCGAGTCACTCGGCCCTACCCCTCCTCGACCGGCAGGTGCGTTCCTTATCTCTCCTATGGTCGACCTCTGCTCGTACCGCCCTTCGCGCAAGGCGAACAACAAGTACGACTTCATCGACAATGGAGGCGCCTTTCGTGCCGCGTTGGAGTACATCGGCGTGCCCAACTCGGCTCCGATCGGAGTTCCATCATGGAACCCTATTCACTTCTTCCAGTTTCCCAATGCCCACCCACCCCGTGGGTTCAACAAGGCGCCCAAGTTCGTCGCGGGCAAGGAAGCCAAGGGGCTCGAATTGCTCGGATCGCCGTACGCGAACCCCATTGTTTGCGAGGATCTCGAATGGCTCAAGGAGGCGTTCCCCGATGATGGTAGGACGCTGATCAGCTGGGGAGGTATGGAGGTGTTCAATGACGACATCGAGGAGATCTTTAAGAGGATGGAGAAGGCTGGGGTCGCGCCGGCCAAGTCGTTCAAGCCTCTTGGCGCTCACGACTGGATCCTGTTCGATTCGGTGAGTTAAAGGGGAGCTTATGTCTCTTGGTTTGGTGCAACCGCCTGTGTGGGCTACCTACTGACGCGAACTCTTCGATTTGGGTCAGTTCATCCCGGGCCTTCACAAAACGCACTCCTTCGGCCCCGACCGCGTCGCGACGCACAACACCTCCGTCGTCGCCGACTTCCTGCAATCCTTCGACGTCCGCAATCGTCAAGAGTACTAGGCCTCGGCCAAACAGGATGTCAAGTTGGCACCGCAAGCGAGAGCGCAAGCGAGCGTTCCCAACCCGGAGCCCAAGACGGAAAAGGTGATGGCGCCGGCCGAGGAAACTCAGGCCAAGGCACCGTCGGGAACGACGCCCGCCAAGGGTGGTAAGGGGACCAAAGCGGGTCAAGGAGAGACGAAGGAGAAGAGTCTCGAGGGTAGTGGTGTCATGGTCGGAAGGGAGTGGGGCAAGGAGTAATGGACCATTTAGCCCCGGGCTCTGTCCCGTCAATCGGAGCTGAAAGTGTAGGATTAACCGATTAATGACAGGATTGCTTTGGCTTATGCCATAAATCTTGGGCTCTAACTGAAGTGACTGCACCAATGTGAGCCGTTGTGTGAGGTGACCGGTCTGACCGAGAGCGGGATGGTTGTGCTGTCCAAGCAAGTCGCTCAGGGGCCGTATTTATTTAGACTTTGCTCATAGCACCTTCCGAGCAGTTTCCCGATTGGGCCCTGTCTCGCAAGTTTCACGAGCTGAAGCCGAGGCACGAAGTACGTAAGTACGAGAGCCGATGAAGATAGTAAAGATAGTTCGAGAAAGAAGATAAGCGCTAAGGGAGCGCGCGCGAGGCAGGCTCGAGACGCGCGGGGCGACTAATATCAACAACTAGTAACTAATCATAATCGGGAATACCAGTGGGATGAAACAGCAATATATTGACAGCTTCGATCTGATGATGTTCACCTTGCTATTGCCACCTCCACATGTTCGCCACTCTGCACTAACCCGAGATGGAAGGTATCCTCCATCGAGACCGTTCACGCTCCTTCAGCTTTCCAAGTGGGGATCTGCACGCGTTTGGGTCGGGTCAGAGTAAGTGATCGACCTCGATGAGCGGTCCAAGCCTTGGCGCTATCGGACTGGTGTTTACATCCGGAAGAGGAAAGGATGGGCTTTGGAGCGTCAATTGAAGCTCTCACGAGTGTAGAAGGTTCTGCTGGTGAAGCCCAAGACGTCAAAGTATGGTGAGTCAGCTCGTATGTCGCTCCCCTTTAGCCCTCGGTCGGTCGCACAGGGGCCCCGGGGGGGGGGGGGGGGGAAGGGGTGTTCCCGAGTCGACTCGGACTTGTCCTCGCTCGATCATCATCCTCATCAGCATCATTTGATATCATGCTCGAACTATTGCCTACTTTGCTGTTGTACATCAGGTTACCTCTCGACCTTCTGGGAATTCTTTCACGGTGCCGCTCGGAGCTCGAGGTTATCTCGGCGACTCTGGCGCTGACATATCCGTTGCCTCGCACGCGCACACGCGCCCTCACGCGGTTAGAGGGATTTTTTGGTTTTTTTTGGCCCAGACCTGGCAGAAGCAACTCGCGCGCTTGTCTTTTTTGTCCGTAGTTTTGTCGTAGACTTTATACGGGCCACGCCTCCGGCCGAGCCCCCGAGACCAGCCGAGACAGGCCGAGACCCCCGAGCAGCCTTCCGTACGCCCCTCCGCCTTCGCAGCGGGAACTCACGTGTCTCTCATTTCCGCCACAGGAAACGCCGTTGCCGTCACTCGCCAACAGACTTTGCTCCTCCTAGACTTCTTTTAGGGGCTTGTCCACCACTTCTCGCTAGAAGTCAAAACCCATTTCGACCCGTTTTACTCGGTCATCCATCCCTCACTCATCCTTCCTCATGTCCAAGGATATCGAAGCCAGCATGCCCGCGTTGGCTCAGCGCGAGTCGTCTTCGTCGGCCGACGACGAGGTCAAGCACGCCACGTCGCACGACGGTATCACCTCGTCCGAGGAAGTACCCTTGCCTGGTTTCATCGACACGTTCCTTGGACGCGATCGCAAGGCGCTTCAGAAGGATCCGATCGTGTGGAATCAAGGCCCTGGTGGCTTTTTCGCCTCGCTCAGCCATCGCACCAAGGGCGTCTTCACCCGAAGATTTATGTGAGTCACCTGAACGAGCGCTAATTTACTAATTCTTTTGCTGTTGCTTCATGATACTGACATGTGCATTACACGTCTGCCTTGACTCGCGTCCGCCCGCGCAGATTGTGCCTGGTCGCCGGTCAAACCCTGTCCTTAGCCATCACTGGTACTTCGGTTCTCACGACCGAGTTGGGAATGCACGGCTGGAGCGTGCGTCACATGATGTGTTCATAGTCTCGCACGAGGTTAATACTGAGCCCTTCTCTCGTCTCTCCACTGCAGATGCCGACGTTCCAAACCTTCTTCCTTTACTTCTTTCTCAACCTCATCTACACGCCCTACACCATCCACCGCTACGGCTTCAAAGCTTGGGGCAAGATGCTCGTCACTGATGGCTGGAAGTACTTATTGCTCGCGGCCATTGACGTCGAGGCCAATTTTCTTGTCGTTAAGGCTTACGGGTTAGTGACTCGGGATCAAGAGACTCTTCGGCGCTCCGAAACTGAATCGGCTTCCTGGCTACGCTTCCTGGCTACCCCCGTCCACAGCTACACCGATCTCTTGTCGTGCATGCTTTTGGATGCTTGGTACGTACTCTTGCACGACGTCTATCGCGGCTGCACCCTTGCTGAACCAATGTTCCTCCCGACGTTCACAGGGCCACTCCCGCTTGCATGATCTTTGCATTCTTCTTCGTCAAGGCTCGTTACCACTGGTCTCAAATTGTTGCTGTACTCATTTGCATCCTCGGTCTCGGTCTCCTCGTTACTTCTGACAACATCACGGACAAGAACTACCCTGCCAACAACAGGGTCCTCGGTGACATCCTTATGGTACGTCGGAAAATTTTGAGTCACAAGTGCGCACATCACGCTAACGAGTCTATGGCATGGAACCTACAGTTGATCGGTGCTACTGGGTACGGTCTCTCCAATTCGCTCGAGGAATTCTTCGTGCGCCAACGCCCTCTCTACGAAGTCGTCGGCCAGATGGGTTTCTGGGGCAGCATCATCAACGCGATCCAAGGCGCCGCGCTCGAACACCACCTGTTTCACACCTCGTCCTGGTCCGGCCGCAACATCGGCTACCTCGTTGGCTACACGTGCTGCATGCTCTACCTCTACTCGACCGCTCCGGTCCTGTACCGTCTTGCCTCGTCGCCGTTCTACAACATCTCGTTGCTCTCGTCCGATTTCTACGGCCTCTGCTTCGGTTTGGCCTTATTCGGTTACTCGCCGTACTGGTTGTACTTCGTCGCGTACGCGCTCGTGCTTATCGGTCTGGTCGCTTACTTCTGGGTCGCGCGTCCCGAAGCGACTCGCATGAACGTCGTCTCGCGTGGCAAGCAGGCCGACCGTGAGGAGATCGCAGGCGTGCGAAAGGTCCTCGGTGACGAGAGGATCTAAGCCAGTCGTCCTCGCAGACCGTATCGTCTCATCGGATCGTCATCTTCGTGACGGGTCCGTTGGAGTTCTTTTTATATTTACATGATCTTTTCTTTGGGGGTCTTTTATGTCTGAAATTCTCGTCCATAATGTCGTCTTGTCATCTCTCAGAGTATCTCCCGACCACGCAGACGGTGTCGAATGCTTTGCAACACTTGCAATACATCGATTCAGTCCTATATATGCAACAAAGCATAAAGCCTAGAAAGCGTCAAAAACTTGCGCTGTGAAGAGATAAACTGTTAGTTCGTTAGGTGCACGCCACGCGGATTGGGATTTCTTACGCCCGAGACAATTCGAGTCAAAGGATTTTGATGGGGTCCATAGGTTCGAGTAGGCTCCTAGGTTGGTCGAAAACGGTCCGTGAGCGTGGCCATCATGCGGGATGAGAGGGAGAAGAACCTGGAAGTCGGTTGGGGTTCAGGGAAGGATTCGCGAGTGGTCATGCTCCCCCTTCGGTGGCCTCCACGACTTGATTCGAAGCGCTAGTTGATCGGCGTTGTCGTTTCGAATCGTCTAGATGATAGATGGCAGAGCTATTAGCGCCAAACTCATGATAGAATATCGTGAAGCAAGAAGACTCACTAGTGTTCTTTTCTTCGACCGCTTCGACGTCGTCGCCCTCGGTCAATGAGCTTCGACTTCGCTTCGCTCCGTCCTGAAGTTTGGGTGCGTCGGGGGTCTCATCGTAATCGATGACGACTTCGCTAGACACATTTAATGTACCTGCGAGGGTGAACAATACCTCGTTAGTCTGGATGCTTGCTAGCTAAGCTGCCAAATATTTTCGTTTCTTGGATCGTACCCTCTGTGTTAAGAAACTCCTTCCCAACGACCGACGCTTCGGTCGTGCCATTCCCATTCTGCTCCGTCGGAGCTGTAGCTGCCTCGACAACAGCCTCGGGCTTGTCCAACGGGATTGCTGGTGGCTCGATGCCGGTTCCCTCGGGAGTGTCGTATGTCAACTCGAGCGGCTCCGATCGCAACGCCTTAATCGACTTGGGTATCCGTTCTTCCGCTGCGACAGGTTCATGACCGTTGACCGAATGACCATTGATTTCCTCACCAATCGCCGTTATTGCTTCGCCATTGGCTTCTTCCACCTGGTCCTGGGCAAGTACGTAGTCCTCTTGCGCTCCCTCGATGACAGCAGCCAGATCCTCGTCGTCCAGCTCCTCGTAGGCCTCCTCCTCTGCCTCTTCGTCCTCTGCTGCCTCGTACAACTCAGATCCTTCCTCGGGCTCGCAGTGTTCCTCGTCCCCCTCCGTCTTCTCATGCCACTCTCTCTCATCGTAGGGCGAGCCCTTGGCCACGGCCTCAGCTCCCTCTGCCTCTGCCTCTGCCTCTGCCTCTGCCTCTGCCTCTGCCTCTGCCTCTGCCTCTGCCACTGCCTCTGCCACTGCCTCTGCCTCTGTCTCACGAGCCTCAACCTCTTCGACCGCCTCCTCCTCCGCCTCCTCGTACGCTTCTTCGTACGCTTCCTCCTTCTCTTCTTCTTCTCCACCCACAGCAAGAGACTCTTCCCTCCCATCGGCCACGCGCATGATATGCTGCATCAACGCATTGAAGCCCGTCGGAAAGCGCGGTCCCTCGCGCTCGGCAAGCTTGACCAGCATCCGCCCCGGCAGGCCACAGCCGCTGTGGAGACGGTGGAAGTCGTGCAGGCTTACTTCTCGAGTATAGACGTTGTCCTATCGAACGATGAAGAGCACATGTCAGAATCGAAATGCGCGACATGAGAGCCCCTGCCCCGGAACTTACCTCTTGGAGGACGATGCCCAGACCGTCTATCTCGAGAGAGTATTCAGCTTGCGTTGATTCCAAGCCCGGCAGCGAGGCGTGCAACGCCTCGAACAGCGCCTCGATCTGCTCATAGTACAGGTGATGGTCTTTGCGTTCGCCGAACAGAATCGGTAGGTCTTCGGCGTCTTGCCCATCTTCGACGACGGGTGCGGCTCGAAACATTGTGTACCGGTCTTCGCCGAACTGCAGCAGGACCGTCGGTGCGAGCGGAGGTGGTGCTGGGCGAGGTGGTGCATCTGCCGTCTCCCCCTCTGCGACTGGCTCCGCCTGTGCCGTCTCGTCACCCTCCTCGGCGTCGTCGTCTTCACTGATCTGCAGTGCCGCCTCGTCGCCGAGTCCGAAAAATTCGAGCACGGCCTTGTCGATCAGTGGTCGCTTGAGCAGCCCACTCGACGCCCCAACGGCCTCGACGACCTTGACCGAGTTGATCTGTCGCACCTGTGCTCGGTTATTCTGTTGCTGTTGCCCATCATCGCCCCCACTCGCACTCCCACTCGCGTTCGAGGCCGACGCCGAGGGTGGTGGAACCGAATTGCGTTGCTCGGTCTCGACGATGATGTGCCCGTCCAGACCCTGGCGAATGATGACCTCGTTCTCTTGCTTGGCCACACCATCGACATCGGGATCGTCCTCGCTTTGTTGTCGTAGTTGTTGTTCCTGCACGATGCGGGTCGTGCCGGGCCCGAGGGCTTCGATCGCTTGGTCCTGCGTCTGCACGTCGTCGGACGAGTGCTGGTGCTGCGAGGCTAGAGCCCTTCGAGGGTCCAAGAGCGACTGCTGCGTTTCGTCCGTCGAGGGTGTCACCTGTGACCGACGCGCGTCGCTCGGTTCCTGGTCATTCGCGGTGACCTGGGCGGGGTCAAACATGGGCGTCGGAGAGACAATCGGAGCTGGTGGGTCCATCCCGAGCGAGAAGGGAGCGCAGGGGCGACGAGTGAATGTGGCTGTTGATAGAGCGATCGGCGGGAACGAGAGGAGAGGCCAATTGATCATTAGAGGTTGGTGCTCTCCGGTGCTTACCTGTGCTAGCCAGTGATTAGCCAGTGCTAGCCTGCGCTTACTCGGTTATTATAGGGCGCCGCTTGTCTCAGCAAGCGCCGGCCTTCCTCCGCAGCTGATTCCGGCCGACTCGGTCGCACAGCACCCAGCGCTCGTCCCACGTCCCACGTCCCACGGTCACACCTGGACACTGCTCCCCATCGTTGGCTGACGACTTCATTCCATCTTGTGAGTGTTCCCCGGGGAAATCTTGACTTGCTCCTACTTGTCTGCGTTCTTCCCCAGCGTTGAATGCGCTGGCTCGGACTTAACACTCGTTCCGGACCGAGGCAGCATCATCATTATCCTGCCGCACCCGCACTCACACAGTCACTGGCTTATGTCCTTTCGACAGATCTAATTTTATTACCTCACAATGGTCTTCACCGCAGCTCCCGTAGCCGGAGAACGCAACGTTAGTGTACCCCATCTCAATCAGCTTCCTCGAGCTCGGACTGAACTCTTGGCGACATCCCCTTCCTTCTTGAACAGTGGGTTATCAGAGTCCCAGCTTCGTCCGCTAACATCGGCCCAGGATTTGATGTTCTCGGACTGGCCCTTTCGCGACATCTTACCCTCAACGTCAACCTCACGCCCAGCTCCGCCGAGGAGAGCCAAGTCTTGCTCTGCTACGACGGTGAAGGCGCGAACGAGGCCCCGCTCGACCCTTACAAGAACCTCATTACTCGCGTCGCCCTCTACGTGCTTCTCTCCCACCACCTCACTTTCCCCGCCGCCATCGTCAAGGTCGACATCAAGAATCAAGTCCCCTTTGGGCGAGGTCTCGGCTCCTCCGCTTCGGCCGTCGTCGCCGGAGTCTTGCTCGGGGATGCGCTCGGCGATCTCAAGCTGAGCCAAGAGCGAGTCAAAGACTATGCTCTCATGGTCGAACGTCACCCCGACAACGTAACCGCTGCACTCGTCGGTGGCTTCACCGGCTCATTCCTGCGCACGCTCGACGCGTCCGAGCTTGCTCCTTCCTCGATCCCCCTCGCGGAGGTCTTGCCTGCCTACCCGGCCAACGCAGGGCCGCCAGTGCCGGGGCAAGAGGAGCCGCCCCAACCCCCAGTTTGCGTCGGACGACATGTACGATACGGTTTCTCGAAGGACATTGGCGTCGTCGTCGTCGTACCCAAATTCGAGGTCGAAACCGCCAAAGCGCGAGGCGCCCTTCCGAACACATATCCCCGAGCCGACGTCGTGAGTAGCTCGTCCGCCCATGCAGCGTGTTGCCGAGTATGAGGTTACTCATGGCTTTTTGGTTCATTGTACAGGTCTTCAACTTGCAACGTCTGGCGGTCCTGACGGCTTCGCTGTCCCAATCGCCGCTGGATGCGAACGTCATCTGGGAGGCGATGCGTGACCGAGTCCATCAACCGCAAAGAGAAGGCCTGGTGAGTGACCGACGCTTCCTCATGGCCTGTGAGCTCTCGTTCTAACGCATACGAGCCGCAATGTTGTAGATCCCCGGACTCTCCAAGATCCTCAACCATATGACACCAGCGACGCACCCCGGCCTGCTCGGTATTTGCCTGTCTGGTGCGGGCCCCACCATCCTCGCCCTCGTTTCGAACGAGAAAGGAGCCGACTCCAACGCTGGTACGATCTTGACCGACGATTCCGAGATCACTCTGGGCGAGTCGACAACCTCGGGGGGTGCGACACCACAGATGACCCGGATTGGAGAAGCGATCAAGGCGCTTTGGAAGGAAGAAGGGATCAATGTCGAGTGGTTGGCATTGACGGTGGATGACGAAGGGGCCACGTTGAAAGAATTATGATCTGCAATCCAGCTCATATTTTGATCGGGTATTCGTAGTGTTGTTGAGGTGGTGGACTACGGCATTCGCAGAAGGACGAGAGCGGAAGAATGATTATTTCTTTTCCTCATTTCGGCGACGTCGGTCAAGTGAGTGATACTCCATATCGTCAGGGACACCGATCAGGTTCGGAGTCTGTCAATATTAGCATTGATTCCCACTGTACTTGAGGTAATTATCACGCAATAGACAAGTGGAAAGGCAGGAGCTACGTGTCCCAACCCCCAGCCATAGTCAAGGCAGCAGGTGAAAATCCACCCCCGGACGTGACGGCACCCCTCGCTATAAGCGCTTCAAAAGAGGTGCTAGCTCCGATCCCCTTTCGTACGCACCCCGAATCATGGCATTACGTCACTTTTCGTCACTTTTTTGAACGGAGAGGGACCCGTCTGAATCTGGGCGGCTGTCGGCCATGGCGCGGGTCATCTCTCCAGAGACAAATTGGCCGCAGCGCGCAGAGCCCTATCGACCCTGAGGGGCGTGGGAGTCTTGAGTTCTAAAATCGGGACGCCACGACAACCGGGTAGGTCAGGTTGCCACGCCAAATTTCATCCTCAACGCACTACCCATCCTGCTGATTTTAGTTAAGGCGTGAAAAAAATCATGTCAAGGTCTGTCCGGCTCACCCCTTTTTCCGGAACCAGGTCGTACGCACGAGGTTCACAGCCTTAGCCGCGAAAGTAGTTCGCAACAACACCATGGCCTCTTCCTAGACAGAGTCTCACTTTGTACCGGCGACGACGACTGTGAGACGGGCGATGCGGATTTAAGTCATACATTCCAGCTAGCCTTGTACACTGCGCCGCCAGAATCATAGAATTACAGCCCTGAGTGCGGGCGGAGTCAGCACCGGCCCGGTGTGAACCAAATTGGCTGCTCAGTTGCCCAGCTTGCCTGGAAAGGAGGGGCGGTTTCACACTCCTCGATAGGAGGGGAATCGTGTCGCGTGCAACTCGGAGTGAGGGGGCGTTTCGACTTGGAAACTCTGAGACGCTCGAGCGCTCTGCAAGTGGGAGTGATGAGCGAAAGACAGCGAGGCCCGTTTTTCTTACCCCACAAGAAAATGCCCTTGGTCAGACAAGCCAGCCAAAGAAAGGAGGCGCTGATCGGGGATAGTATATGAAGCACGCTGAGAGGAGAAAAAGGTGCCAGGTCGGATACCTGAGCTATGACCAGGTCAACTGCGTCTGCCCGAACCTCTCGATCGTCGCTGCGTTGCCACCGTCCGCATCTCAGGCTTGTGTGCTTTAGCCCTGTTGCACGTTGGTTTACGAGTTACGACCCTTTACGAACACGAACACGAAACGATCACGACCTCTTTGACGACACGATACCCCTCTGCTCATCAACTCCCTCTTCCCTGCTTCGGCCTCTCTCTCCAGCGATTACGACCTCTCGTGCGTGCGACCTGACGCCCTCGCACCTTTTTCGACCCCCTGTCTCACCCTCTCGATCCAGGACGGCCCGGCGATCCTGTGGCGAGGCTCTCGATCGTGAGTCGGTGACGGCTTGCTGACGCTATTCAGGTCAAGATGAACCAGTATAGCAATGGTATATGATACTGACGTGGTTCCCACGCCATTGTTTCAACACGTTGTGGCTTTCGCAGTGACACGTCCCCTGTGTTACGTCGCACCACCGGTCGGCGACACCCGGCCCGGCGCTTCACGCGCGACTCAAGGATCATCTCGCTCTCAAGTGCACATCACGACCTCCGCAACGCCTTTTTTTCTCTGCTTGAATCTCAACGACCTTGCGAAGTGTATTCAGGGTTCGCAGTTACTTTGGTCAGTACAGATGATACTCTACGACGCCAGGAGCAGGGTCGCTACAGGCCCGATTGAGCAACCACGACTGATTCGCTGTTCGGTCTCGTTGCAACACCCCCACATGGCGATGCGGTGGGCAGAACGGAGCCGCGCCCGACGGTGCCAAGCGAAGCTGAACCGAGGAACGCTCTGTGGCCGCGCCCGCAACGCCAGCCCTAACCTCGGATTGAACGATCTCGTCACACCTCCCCCCCAAGCTCCATCGTGGCGCCAGGCACTCCGACGTCAATCCCATCTTCACGTCACACATATAACGACCCCTTTCCCCTTTGCCTTCTTGTCGAGATCGTTTTATTTCTGTGTGGTAAGTCCGTTCTGGTGGTCTAGATGATTTCTCCATTTCTGCCGAGGCGTGGTTGTCCTCGTCGACCCGCGCTCGGCTCCGAGCGTCGTCGCGTCTGGAGGAAATTCGAAAAAGTCGTCGTACTCGACTCTTTATTCAGGTATCCTGTGTCCGAAGGACAAGTTAAGGATGATACGCTGCACAGCCGCTGGGGTCGATTGTCTCGGGAGTAGGGTCTAACCGAGCTACATCGTCGCCGAGGGCTCCTACTGCGGTAGCATGTGGGGGTGGCGACGACTTTCGAAACTGGGGTACTCTCCCGCGGCAGCCGACCGCTACCGGTTCATTCTCGAAATGTGCACCGGAGAATGGCTCCTCAGGCGCGTTTTTGGCGTGATCAAGTACAAGTGCTGTACTCGACAGGGGGATTTTGGGCGCTTCAATTATATCGGCACACCTTTCTTTTCATTGTCGTGAAGCCGAGGCCTCGGGCAGGGACGCCCAGCTCTCGCTGCCGCGCACACGACATTTAGCGCCGCGCCCGCGACTCTCCGTCACCGAAGCTTTCAACGCGCGCGCCGCCGCCGAGCACACTTCGCATCAGAGGGGACCTGTGGGCCTGAAATCTCAGAATTATGCTTCAAAAGCAGCACGTCCGTCAGCGAGCTTAGGAAACAGGTGCGACTGGACGAGTTTTTTGTCGTTGCTTCACAATATTTTCGAACCCCAGGCGACCAGGCTGCGAAGTCTCGAAATCCAAGATCGCAACGTCTTTGACGAAGATCTCGAGCGCTGATGCCGATTTTATTACCGCCAGATCGTCCTGCCTCTGTTCGAGCAGCATAGCATTCTGAGCCTGATTCCATCGCACACTTGAGTCGGATTCCGATCGATCATCACCCCCTAATTTCTCTCACTTGGGACGGTCACAAGTTCTCGAGCTTTCGAGCTAGCACACAACCTGGAGGAGCCTGTCAGCAATTCGATCCAAGGCACCTACACCGTAAGCCCCACCTCTTCTACCAGAGGCGTGTTTTAGCTCCTGTGAATCCTGCCTGGAATTTTTAGACGTTACTCGCAAAGGTTTTTCGTCGGCGCGTCATGCCTAAACGAACGTTTTGGAGCCTGACTAACTGATTCCACTCTTCTCCCTATCTCTGCAGATCTCGATTTTGGCCTCCTCACGTCGGCTTTTATCCCCTTCGAAGTGTGTGCGTGATTCCGACTTTGTGCTCAAGGAGAGCTCAGCTTGAAAGCTCTACGCGCGGACTAGCAGCGGCCGAGCGAACGGACACGCTCTGCGAGGCCATCGGCTCCGCGACGCGGTCCCCCCTTGATCTTTTCTCGCGTCAAGCAACTCTACGAATGACAAAAGCCAACGTAAGTGGTGCAGTCAATACATTTAATGTACCCCGAGCTTCGACTGACATTCTGTGACTTTTTATTACCAAATTTACCCAACATCACAATAATGTATCCGACTGTTCTTTGCATGCCATTTGTTGGAACCGACGCGCCCGCCCGCACACCGTGAATGGGACTAATGCTGGACCATGATCTGATCTGGGATCGGCGACGCGTGCAACTCTACAATTGCACATTTCGTGGTGTGCCCGGTCCGCGCACGCCCGTCGCCTCCGTCGCCCACACGCGCGCTGGCCCTTTCGCGCGGCCGCGTTGACATTTGTGCTCTCTGTGCCGGCGAATCTCGAAACACCTCCCGATCACCCACATATTTCTGCTGCTGCGATCCGCCGGCGCCAACTTTCTTCTCGCGTCTACCTCGCCTATCTTCTACCCCTTCCATCCGTCCCATCCATCTCTCCACCTTCTACGTATCGTCGCATCTTACTCTCCAACGCGACTGTATCTTCTCTCCCATCGCATCGCCGGTTGGGTCGCTGTTCTTTCCTCGCCTTTTCTCGTCGTCTACGCTGCTCCTTGACGAAACCCACATCGCTTCTTTTTCGCGATCACCGCTCCGTCGATCACTCGCATATCCGTAATTCATTTTCTTTTCTCGGCTGGACCGATACAACACCACACCTATTGCTCTACGTTCCTCCCATTCACTCCGAACTGTCGAATCCTGCACGCCTTCACCAACCTGGCGACCTTCGGAATTTGCCTCGCGTCTCCACCCCACTTTACCGGCGTTCCATTTGGCTTTGGCATCATTCCTCGCCTACGATAGCTCCGCCGCCGTTCGAACCGCCTGCGTGCTCGCACCCACTCGCCCAACATGAAGATTACATCCAACGCCACAACCTTTCCTTCGACAAAAGCCGCCTTCTACAACAAGAAGCGATCCCCCTCCGCGGCATCGTCTTCGTCGTCGTCCTCGACGTGCTCATCGGCATCGTCATCGGGCGGCTCGAGCAAACGACGCGACTCGCCCCTGCGCGACTCGATCAAGCGCACTATGCCGGAGCTCATGTCCGCGCAGATGCAACGACAGCAGGCGATTCCGCGGTCACTCGCAGATCAAGAAATGCAAAGCTTGCTCGAACTCGAGTACCGCGACGATGTGCGATCCTACATGCACGAGATGCAGGTCAGTGCGAAAATCCTCCCGGCGCGCGCCCGACCAGGCACGGGCTGGGCTCCGCCGCCACCTCTCGGGACGCGAAAATACTGATAACTGCCAATCCTCTTCACACGTATCTTTTCCTCCCCTCTGCCTTATTCGCATTTCCTTTTCGTGCAAAACAGGCGAAGACAATACCATCGGTCGAACTGATTGAACAGCAGCCTGAGCTCCAGTGGTACATGCGTCCTTACCTCGTCGATTTTCTGATCGAGATCCACCTTCAACACCGACTACGACCCGAGACACTCTACCTCGCGCTCAATATCGTCGATCGCTACGTCTCGAAACGTATCGTGTTCAAGAAGCACTACCAGCTCGTCGGATGCGCCGCTTTGTGGATCGCAGCCAAGTTCGAAGATGCCAAGGACCGAGTGCCTACCGTGCCCGAGCTGTGCCAGATGTGCGTCGGCGCCTACGACGAGTCGGCTTTCATCCAAATGGAGGGTCACGTTTTGACGACAATAAACTGGGTCATCGGTCACCCGACGGCCGAGGCTTGGTTGCGACTGGCGTGTGTGACGGGCCCCCTCGAGAGCCAGCGCACTCAGCACGTCGCTCGCTACCTCATGGAGATCACGCTCTTCCATAAGGACTATATCCCCTTCAACCCCTCCGACATCGCCCTCGGGTCCCTTTTGCTTGCACGATACATGCTCGGACAAAGTCGACGCGTAAGTTGTCTTTTTCTCGTGTGACGGAGCAAGCGCGGCGCGTGGTCCCCTCCCCACCCGTGGTGCAGGGGCTCCATCACCTCGACGCGTCCCGCGCATCCTGGCTGACCTTCGGCCCGCGTTATTTCGCTTCCCTACGACAGGTCTTTGACGAGTCCGAACGCGTCCTCCAAATTGCATCGATGCTCGATGAGTGCTTGTCCGTGCACATCAATACCGTTTCCGCCATCGTCTACAAGAAGGTGAGTTGCTGTGCCCCGGCATCGTGCCGTAGGCGCGTTTCGCACAAAACCAGGAGCTGACGTTCCCCATCCTCGTCGGTCGGTTGCAGTACTCGCACCAATTCTACTCCCGTGCTTCCATCTTTGTCAGCGAATGGTCTCTTTCCGGTCGTCGCTTCAACTACTACGAGTGGACCCACCCCGCCGCGACGCCCTTGCGCAAGCACGTCGCCGGCTCCTCGGGCCGAATGTCATCCTCCCCCGCTGCACCTTCCTCCGAGATCCTCGTATCGTCATCACCCGCAAGATCAATGTGCGACACCGTCTCATCACGCAGTGGTGCCTCATCCGACGATTCTTGCTTTGAGAGCGACTGCGAGCCTCTGACACCGCTCACGCCGCTGCCACCTTACGAGCACCACTCGTCTGCGACCGAGCCCACTATTCTCTTCGCGCAACAACAAAGCTGGGCATCGCAGTCCATGCACCGTCAATCGCACGAACCCATCGGGAAGGAGAACTTGCCGAGACCGGTTAAGTCGCAGCAACCTCGAAGTCATGTCGCGTACCCGGCCGTCGTCCGGCCACCTTTGGCGCGCTCGTCTCGCGAGATGAACGCCGCGCCCGTCCTGCCGCCGGCTGTTCACCGTCGTTCCCCTTGTCAACAATCTGTCGCATGATCACCTTCGCACACGACTCGCTCTTCACATCGGACTCTCCCAAATCCCTGCACTCTCGCAACGCTTCCTCCATCAGCATCCTATCATTCTTCGTTCACGCATTTCGCATCCTCCTTTAGTACTTATCCCGATGTCTTATCCTCGGTACAACGCTTCTTCTTTCTCCACCTCTTGTGTTCATATATCTAGTCCTACCTCTATACCTATTGCTTTTTGACGATCTTGCTCCAACCGGGAGGCCGCTGTCGCCCCGGTTAAAGTCGGATACCTATCTTGCTTTCGCCTTTTCTCTTCTCATTAGACTTTGTGTTTTAGGTGTGTACATTCATGTGTGTTTGTTCCTCCTTTGTCTGTCTAGAGGCCAGATAGTCTACCTCGCTCTCGTCTCTCTCCCTCTCCTTAGCAGTGCCATAGTTGAACTCGCGGCCACTGGGTCTTCATCAAGCAACCTCTTTGTTACATAGGCAATCGAACACTAGCAGTACTTGACCACCACCGATTTCGAATCGCGAGAGAAGAAGCCTTCGGCTCTGATGATCTAAACGCCTTCCAATCGAACGAAGACAGCGCCATGCTGGGATTACACTATGCCTCCTCCGTCTCCGCCAACGCCCTCAGCACAAGTTCCTCCGTCTGCGGCATCTTGAGTTTCCTCAAACCCGTTTCATCATCACCCGCAATCTCTTCCGCGGCCTTGTAAGCCTCAAGAATGATATCAGCGCTCAAAGGGATACAGTATTTGGCCATAAGCACAATCACAATCGCCGTCCTCGTGATCGCTCGACGAATCCGACCCGAGATGTCGTCATTTTCTGAAGAGTACACCGTATGCGCCGATTCTTCACCGAACCCTGCGTTCTCGGATTGGTCGTTTTGGTGCTTGGGATTGCGTGGTAGGGTTTTAGATATCCAGATGTAGCCGTTGAGACCGATGATAAGGTCGACGCCGTGGGGGAGGGAATGAAAGTGGGATTTGAGGCGGACGATGAGTGAGGGCGCAACGATGACAAGCATGCCGTTCTTTAGCTATGGGTGAGACACTCAAGGTGTCAGCTCAAATACTCTTCGAATGCGATGAGATCCTTCGTTCGGGCCTGACCTTGCCGTATTTGAGGGATCGGGTATGCAGCGACATGGCTCCATCGGCGAAAAAGGCTTGCACTTCGGCGACGAGCAGATCACCCTCTTGAAAGAATGTTCGCATTTGTAGCTCGTCCGACTCGAGTTTACGTCGCTAGCGATCGGGAGCACGACAGAAGTGATATGCGATGGACATCGAGCAGAACGGAACGGATTAACCTCCTGTTCTCGTTCGACCCAGCTCGGACTTTGGAAGACTGACCTGAACACCTCCTGGCAGATTGATAGATGCGAGCATGAGCACCGCGTTCTGTGCGGCATTGGCTTCGACCTTCCACCTTCTCGGTCCAACCTATTCAGGTATTTGCCCGACCATCCGTCAGCAGCTATCTCAGCCGATCAAGATCTTTCTCGTTCGCGAACACGGGAGTTCGTACCTCTGCTATCCGCCCAATGACGAGATCGCCTACCTCGGGTCGGTATCTGAAGAACACGAAGACACCCCCATGGATCAGAAAGGAACACTAGTGATCGATGGATCCACAGGATGCCCCCAATGACTGACTTTGTTCTCAGGGGTCGTACGGAAACGAGCTTGTTGACCCTCTCGAGCGTGCCTGCGACCGAGGCCAACACCTTGTCGTCCTGAACATAGGTTCCATGACCCCTGGTGGAGCAAACACAAACCCAACAATCAGTACCGCAACCTCCTGGCCTCCCAGGCGAGCCCTCCGAACGACGAGCAACTGACCTCATCCACCTCCCCGCATCAGCAATCACCTCCCCCGGTCCCGTAACTTTCCCACCTCCCACCGTCCTAGCCCTCGAAGGTCCCGTCCCATCTCCATCATAGTCCATCTCGTCGTCGTCAATCAGAGCATCCTCGATCGTCGTTGAGCGCATGCGATCGTCGCCATCGTCATGGTTCGTCGAGGTCGAAGCGTGGCCGTAGGAGGAGGTGCCTCCCGATACGATGCGAAACATCCCTTTTTGAAGGGTAACGGTTTCCCGGAAAGCGCTTCGTGTGATGTTCACCTCGTGCTGCGACGCCGATGAGAAATAACCCGAGATGGGCACGAATCTAAAGCAAGAACCTGCCTGCGAAAGCCCGATCAGATCTCCGTCGCTCGGCTTGGCGCGCACGGACCTTTCATCTCGCCCCATCGGATCATCCGCCTAGCTCGCCTCAAGTGACAACCAAGTGGGAATATTACAATTGCACATAGAAAGGGGAAGAAAGAAAGTGTGGGAGCCCCAAGGGGAAGGACAAATGGTCCCAGATTAAGCCACCACCAGGTCACGAAATCCAGAAATCGGACCCAAGATGATAGTAGGTATCGAGCGAAGCACCGAGGCGAGTTAGCAGACTTGCTAGGTTGTAATAGTGCCCCGAAGAATTGAGCACGTCACGCCTCGAGATCGGTAGGGGGGTAGTAGAGCCGGGTCCAGAAAGATGCTGCGAGTCGAAAGAATGCGCCGAAGGAAGTTTGTGTGAGCGGGTGGCAAAGTCCCAACGGAGGTTGTGAATAGGTAGAGGGAGTAGTAGTGAAGATCGCGGGCGAGAATAAGGTCGGACGAGGCTGCATGTTCATTCCCCACCGGCCTGGGCTGCCGAGCTCGACGACTCCTCTTCTTGAATACTCGAAAAGCCCGACTCGCCTCCAGGAACGTTGAATCCAAAGATGGGCGTCGGCTGTTGGATCTCACCGGGCAACGACAGGCGTCGACCAGGCTGCAGTGGACCGGGACCGGGAGCCATGCCACCGTTCATGCCAAAGCCGAATCGAGTGGGTTGGAGCCCGAACGAGGGCGTGTGCTGGTTGTAGTAGGTTGGCGCGGTCACGGGTCGATGTGGCGAAGAGCCGTGGCTGTACAAGAGGTCGGAACCAGCAGAGGCTGGTGCTGGTGGCAAAGGGAACGCCGCCGGACCGGTGCTGGCCCAGGGGTTGGACAAGATTGGCGGGGCAGGTGCTTCGTACATGCTCGGGGGCGGCGGCGGCAGCTGCAAGGTCGGCGCGGGTATACCGTAGATTGACGAGGTGGACGGCGGGGGAAGATAGGGTGCAGGGGCGTTGTAGTGGTATTCACCAGCCGAGGTGACCGGTCGAACGCGATCCTTCGACGGCACACCGTAGATCGATTTGGTTTGCGCCTGACTGGTCGCAGTCGTGGTCGAGGCAGCCGCCGTCGAGTTGTTGGCGCTACGACCATTGAGCGAGGCTTGCGTCTTTTTGTTGTCCCTCCACGCTTTGCGCATCTCCTTGAACTCTGTAGGAGCAGAGAGGAGCAGACGGGCCGACGGGAGTGATCGAGGATGAGTCAGTTATCAGATAGGCTCGTGCGGAGGGCGCTAAGTGGCTCGGCCCGGATAGGGGAGAGCAGCACGCGAGGGTCTGGGCGCTCAAGCGGTAGGACCGGCTAGGAGCGGCGAGATATGACAAGGGGGAACACAGACTTACGCGCAGGGGTACTTTTGGGTCCGTGCTTTTGCATCGTCTTGTGCGAGTTGAGATGGTTCAGGGTTCCGTACGATTTCTGGCAGCCAGGGTAGTCGCAACCGTAAAGGCGCTCGATCTCGTCGAATCGACGACGAGGCCGCTTCGTAGTCTGGCCCGCGGCGGTGACGAAGTTGTACACCTTGCTCGAGCTCCCCGATTGCCCTCGCGATTCCGAATTCGAGCCTTTACCCTGCGAAGGTGGGGAGAATTCCGAACCTCGGCGTGGGGTCTGGGCTTGTGCGTGGGATGAGCCAGGTCTCGAATCGGCGATTGTGAGGCGAGAGTGCGAGAAGCCATCGTGGTCTTGGCTCGAAGGGTAGAAGCCGGCGTCACTTGCACGTGGCGGGGGACCGTATTGAAAGATCGAGCTGCTCGACGGCGACCCATGCTCTTCGGGACCGCTGCTATACCGCTGATGCTCGCTGTGAGCGTGCCCGGCCTCGGACATCGAGAACGAGCGCGGATCGTGAGAAGATATGTGACCTCCATGCATCGCCATGGGCAGCCCTGACGGTGAAATGCCCGAGTCGAGGCCCAACGAGAAGGGATAGGACATGGACGAAGGGTAGAACGAACCCGAGTGGCCATGGTGAGGTGCGTAGGGGCCGCCTTGAAAGTAGGGTGCCGAAACCGACGAGGGCGCGGTCATGGGCCGCGTATTGCGAATGTTGGCACCCGGGATATGCGGTGTGGGCTGACCCTGGAAGTGCACGGCATGGCCGAACGGTGGAGGTGGTGATGGTTGAGGGGGACCGGCCGCCGTCGGAACGTGAGACAGATTCTGCGACAAGGGCGACAGATCTCCTCGCTCATCGTGGTTGCCCCCGAGCGGCGACTGGCGCGCATGAGCGAGATATTGCGACTGGGCGGGCGAAGGGAGTCTGTGCGTTGGCGAAGGGAGGTGATGCCGAGGCAGCTGCACCGAAACGCGGCGAGAGTTGGAGGAGGCCATCTGATCTCGATCCGATCCGGCCGAGGAGTCGCCGTCGTCCTGACGAGCGGCGGCGTTGGCGAGATGTTCGAACGCGGACGAGGCATGCTGGCGCGCGGCATTATTGGCCGCTGCTGCTGCCGACGATGACGCCGACGAGCCAGCAGGATCGGTCAAGGGCGAGTATGAGCTCGAGGCGTAGGACGAAGCTGCGCCCGCCGAGTTGGGAGGACCGGACGAACTCGACGGACGAGCCTGAGTCTGAGCTGAGCCCGGGCCACGGGAGAAACCTGGGGAATCGAGCGCCGGCGCGGGATAGGAGAACTCGGTCATGCCACAAAATCGCACTGGGGACTGTACGATGCAGTCTTGAGGGGTCGGCGAACAAATTCGCTGCTTCGAAGACCGAATGAGCTGAGAAGCACGACGGGCGCTTGATCGACGGTCGGCAATGCAAGCGCGGCAACGGCTCTGGGGCGGGGTCTCGATGAGGATGACGAAAGACAGAGAGCGGCAGAGACCGTCTGGCAAGCGCACAGAGCGGAGGCAGGCGCGGGTGGAAGAGATAAAGGCGAGCCTACAGACGACGAGTCCAAGTCGAGTGTAGAGATCGGGTCAGTCGTGGGCAGCAGGCAGGTAGCGATCAGAGGCAAGCCAGAGATCGGGATGGGAATGGCACAAATGGGTGGTGGGGGATGAGCGAGGGAAGACGAGGGACGCTAGTACTATAAGTGTGAGCCGCACGCGAACGTCCTCTGGCGGAGGTCAGGGCGGCGAGATTTCGGAAATGACGCTAGTGGGACCGCCCCTCTACGCTGCAGACGCTGCAGACTCGCGAGCGCGCTGGCCGCGATAATGAAAGCGCGCGCGCGCCGAGCCTCGCCCGTGGCGCTGGCGCCCGTGACCAATTCGCCCAGACCGGACAGGGCCCAGCTCTGCAAGGCTTCGGTGAGTCGGGTGTGGACGGTCGTTCCCGCCGTCCCGGTCACCCGGTGCGACGACGGAGTTCGCTGCAGTCGGCGTCGACGCAGACGACCGCGGCGGGGGCGATGAGGGGCGAGGTTTCACCTCGTTCTCACACCTGCAGCCGTGGAACTGGGTTCGGGTTATAGCCTGCATTTAATGTCGGACACCGTGAAAGAGGAAAAAAAAACTCAGGTCTTCATCGTCGATGCAGCTTTTTGTGGACCGCGTGCCCATCAATCCGTGGCTCTTCGACGTCATCCTCTCGCCGTCGCATGCGGTGATCTTTGGCTTTTCTTTAGTTCGAGAACTTTTGGCAATTTTTTCGAGTTTCAATTCGTGGTGCATGCGCATCTTGATACTCAAAACTACGAAACAGAGAGGGAACCAAAAGGGAACCACAAGGGAAAAGGGTTCACGAGGGAGGCTCACTGCAGATCTGGCTACTACTAAGTAGCTAGACAAGGACGACTCGCCTGCCACACAGCACCGCTACAGAGCTCGAGGAACCGACCATCTGGAAAAACATGAAAAAATAAAGGGGGGTTCTGTCGACTGAGGTGGGCAACGGCTTGAAGACCGTGTACACCACACACCCTCTCCCGACGCGCGAGGCGCGACGCGAATGGATTGATGCAGTCGACTGTCCGAGCCCGCTCAATACGGAGCAGCGACTCTCCACCGCCAGGCAATGATATGTCTGCGCTTATACCAAGTCTCTCATCGCCGTCACCAGCGAATCTTCGGCATGGTCTTGTTGCTGCAAGTGCGGGCTTCGCACGTTAGGGTGCCATGGCTGATATGGCGCAGATGATGAAGCGCAACGAGAGAGCGGTAGGTCCAAGCGGATAGTAAAATTGAGGGGAAGTCGACGTTTTGCACGTCGAGTAGTCCGGTCAGGGAGTGGGAACCGAAAGGGGCTAAAGGAGAAGACGTGCCGGAAAGGAACGCCCAAGGCAACGAGGCGCCGATGGACGCGCCGATAGTTTCGGTTCATCGCGTGACGCTTTCACGTGTCACCTCGCGCGCGCACGGACCATCGGCCTCCAACCTGGAAAGCGGCAAGCTAGTCGCCGCGCGCGCGATCGCAAGGTCTGCACAAACTCGACCTTGAGTCAAACCGCTTCGTATACTTGTTCAGGTTAGAGTTTATCAGAGAAATGGGTCAGGTCGCTTCCTCTACGGAGACTTTGAAAGCCAGCTGACACGAAAAGCTAATGTGAAACGTCAAGCTCGATCCAGTCGGTGGGAGGTTTGTCAATTGAACGAATCAACCATTTGCAGTTCGGACCGTTCAATCAGACCGTTTAGTCAAGGTAGGTAGGCCGCCACCTGGGTATCAGCGCACTGTGATGGAACGGGGTCCTGTTGGACAGCTTGTGCTCTTTGGTGACAGGAGTCAACCCACGTGCGAGCCCGGCCTATCGAGGCTCATACTCGATCCATCGACGCTCCCAACGACACGTGGAGGAGCCTGATACAAATCAGGGGTCTGTTACCATCATCGTGTTATCCGGAAGACACGCAGCCGCCATGAAACAAGACAGGAGGCTTTGTTGGGCCGGAACTTGATTCTTACGATTTGAAATATGTATGCTCCAGCGAAAATGACACGTGGCGAGCACAGGCGCAACCCTCAACCGCACGGAATTCATGTGGCTGTAATCCGCAACGGGGCCATGTGGTGGACCATCCGCAAAGCACGATGTTATCCTGCTGGATTCCTTGATGCAAGAAATTACAACATCAACTTGTCAGCAACTGCCAGGAATGACAATGTATTGGGCACGCCGATCATGCCATCGCGAAGGGCCGAAGCGCCGAAGCGCACTCGCGAGTCCAAAACTTAAGCTCGAATGTTCACCCCAAATGCCATATGTTGGATACATTGTCATCCCTGGCAATTGCCAAAAATCTGATTTTGTAGTGGCTTGCATCTCATAAGGAATCCGGCAGGCAAACATCGGGCTTTGAAGACATTCACCGTTTCGGAAAGTTACAGCCTGTCAGGAGTGGGTCCAAGCTTTACCACTAGCCTACGCTGACCTCAAAAAGGTATAATATCCACTCTGGCAGGAGTGGACAGCTTGGTACTATGTATGGCCAACCCCCAGTGAAGCAAGCTAGGAATTGCAGGATTACTGGTTCATGACAGTATTCGAGTTCCCAGGTTCTACCGACTTCCTTTACCATGTCCTCTAACCCTCTCTCCATCGAAGAACTCCAGGCCGCCCTCTGCCGCCCTCGCCGCCCGCGACGCCGCCCTAGCCTCGCGAAGCTGAAATCGCCAGCCTCCACGCCGAAGGCCACGCTCTACAGCAGACCTATCAAGCGGTTTTGGACAACTTCAACGTCGTCAAGAAGCTCACCGACACCCTCCAGCACACTCCCAAGCCCAAGTCACCGTTGGAGAAGCCGCCTGCCTATGATGGCAAGGACAAGACCGGTTACTCTATGTTCGTATCTCAGTGCAAGTTCTACATCTATGGCAACCCAACTCTCTTCACTACGGATGAGGCGAAGATTGCTTTCATGATTTCCCTCCTCCGCAACAGTGCCTACAAGGTCTTCGAACCCTACATCGAGCTCGCCGACGAGAAGCGCCCCCATTTCCTCAAAGACTTGCCCGCTTTAATTTCCTCGAACAGGCCCAGCTCTACCTCGGCGACCCCGATCGCGAACACACCATCACCAACAAGTTGCGCGCCCTTACTCAAACCGGATTCGCGGCTGCCTATGCGAGTACCTTCTTTCAGCTCTCTGCTTTCCTTGCTTGGAATGATCCCGCTTTGCAGGCCCAGTACTACGCCGGCCTCAAGCCCGACGTTCGCAAACTCGTCACTCGCCCTTGTCCTCCGAGCGAGTTTCTATCACGAAGGGCGAAGATAGGAGAGGTGAGCCGGACGTAGGGGCTCGAGACGAGGACAAGGGCGAGTGACGAGTTGAGAGATGTTCTAGGGACTTCTCACAAGAGGCGAGGACGAGGGACGAGTGTAAGGATGTGACCTTTGACAAGATTCGAGTTGCAGAAGGGAAAGAGAGAAGTAAGCTACGGAACTGGGAAACTAAACCAGAGGAGTCGGGGACGAGGTGGCGAGCTTGAGGAGGCGAGGCACGAGGATCACGTAATAGTGTTGAGGCCGAGGATCACGTAATGGAGCTTGGTTGAGGATCACGTAAGAGTCGGGGGCGAGAGGGTTGTGGGTGTGTAGTCGGAAGAGAAGAAAGCAGTGCAGGTGCCGAAGCAGGGAGAGGATGTCCGAGGCGCGGGAAGGCCGAAGTCACGCGGATGACGAAGGTGCTGAGAGGCCGAACTCGGAGTGGCGAACTTCCATTTGTGACACAGCCACATGAATTGCGATTGAGGGTTGCGCGTGTAAGCTGTAGTGTCGGGCGGAGTGGGGGTGTGGTAGATTTGCATGTCATAGCATGTTTAAGCCCATACAGCACATGCTTGCATTGGCGAAATTTCATCCCACCGACACAACGCTCTCCGTCCCGGACTCTCATCGGTCTCGTAAAGGTTTGATCCCTCAAGTGTCGCGAGAACTGCTACAATCCACCGTTGACGTGTTTTGGTCGCTTCAGGGTGCTCCAAATCGTCTAAGTCCTCTAAAAGGTCCAAAGGAAAGAAAGACTATTCAAACGTACTGTGACAAATCTATTCCAACGAGAGGAGAGCTTGTCTCAGTTGTAGGCAAGGCCCGTGGGAGGGGCGCTCCTCTCAGACCCTCCTTCCCAAGTCCAGAATGGACTTCATCGTCGTAAGATCGTCATGCCGTGAGATCGCCAATACCATGAGAAAAACGAGATTGGTGAATCAGTAGTCATATTCAGAATCTTCGTCTTCCGAATCCTCCTCCTCCATATCCTCGTCTTCTGAGTCCAAGTTTGAGTATCGCATCAGGCTCATCCTCGGGGTTTCTCTCGGCTTGGACCCTGGGCACTCGTGTGCCAGACGGCCCTGCTCACCGCATTTGAAGCATTCACCTCACTTCAACTGCTCTTCTTGCTTTGCCGTGGAGTGTCCTCGTGGAGCCGCGGGTTCGTGTCTCGAAGTGTCGCCAGTGTCGCGTGCCCGAGACGATCCGGAGGTTGCAGCGTTCGATTTACTCTGCTGAGCAACCTTTCTGTGATCATCTTTCCACATTCGGGTGTCCTCCTCCGTCGTCTCCTTCTCGTGTCTTGTTTCGCTGAAATCGAAACGTTCCTCGTCGCCTTTCGCAACATACGGTTCTTCGTGCTCCCGCTGGTTGCTGCTTCGTAATTCGACATCCTCTGTTCAGGAGGTAGTTTCTGTGGCAGAGCGGTTAACTGTTGAATGTTGAAAATCAACTCCGCCTTTATGCTGTTCCGCACATTTCGCTCCAAGATGACCAATCAGGGTCGCCGCCCTACATGTACATGCTGTAGCAGGCGAGGGTCCATTGCGTCGTACAGCTTCCGCGTAATATCGCGCTCGCTTGAGGCGCGTCGATCTTTAGACAATTGAACGATCTCCGCGACCACCTCAGAAATTTTACTCGAACTTCCAGCTGATCGTTGCTGATGAATCCGGTCCCACTTCGTCTCTGCTTATCTGTGGGCAGTCGGAGACACGTAGTCTCGGTGGAAGCGTCGAACAATTCTGCTCAAGGGGTATTTGACCATCGTCTCGTTCTGGCCCCTTTGAGGCCAGCTTCCATTCATCTTCTCACGCCACTCGGCGTATGCTTCCTTCGCTGCTCCGTCCAATGCCATGTGGATGTATAGAATCGCAGCATCAGCCTCGGGGTTGAGGCCCATCGTCTTGGTATATGATTCCACATCTCGCTTCCACGTGCGCAACGTGGCTGGACGGTCGTGCGCGCAAGTGTATTTCGCGGGAAGCTCAATCTTTGCCGAAGGAGCTCGACTCACGCGATCTGATCTCTCCAATGAGTAATCGCGCTGATACTGGCTTGGCTGCTACGCTCGTTCCCAATCGTGTGGTGCTCTTTCCCGAGAGGGTGTTCGGCGTCCTAGGCCACCACCGCCATTACTTGGTGACGGGGGCGGTGACGAAGGGTCGGGAGGGCCAGGAGCGTCCTCGGGGTGGATCGTCTTGGTGTCCACCCCTGTCTTTTTCCTTCGACGGGGTCCTGTGTTGGTGTCGTCCATGGCGAATAGTAGTCATCTGACAATTCACTGTCCGAACTTGAGCTCAGGGAAGTGTCGTTGTTGCTCGACGACCAACCACTTCATAGTAGTCGTGGTAATTCAGCCTGGGAGTGTAAGATGCGATTGTGGCCGCGTGCTTGTCACGCTTACAGTTTCTCCGTTGGCCTTTCTTGCAATTCTCGTCTGGGATCGAGTGGGATCCCTGCTGTCCGCTCGAGAGGCGTTCAATGTGTCTTCTCAGCTCGGCAATCTTGTCAAAGTCAAGACCCAAACGAGGGAAATAACAATGAGAGGTGGCAACCGGAGAGGGAACCGGCGAGTTCCGGCGGTGCCAGTGCAACGTGGCACTCTCCTCACGGACTGGGTTGCGCCAGCCGAGAGATTTCGTTATGAGAGAATTGTGAACAGTCTCCCAAACTTAATCGACTCGAGAGAGGTTTGCAAACTCTCTCGATTCGGGCTCGATCCGAGAGGGACTATGCGGACTCGGAGTGTCTCGGTCATGGGGTGTGCGATAACCAAGTTCGGTATCGGGTGGGCGCAGGTACTGTGACAAATTTATTCAAACGAGAGGAGAGCTTATCTCAATCGTGGGCAAGGCCCGGGGGAGGGGCGCACCCCTCACAGGTCTTATCAGCCTTCGCGTTCGGGCTGAGTGAAATCGTCTCACAGCCACGAAGCGACTGCGCGGGGCCGCCCTTCTAATGCACTAGTGTCAAACAGCGAGCCGTTGGCGGTTTTTTTTTTGCCTCGGCTCTCCCTCTTGTCTCTCCCCGCCCACTGGTGCCTTTCGCTCCAACCAAAAAGGTTTCCTTAGTGCGAGTTTTGAGCTTGGACGCGACACTGAAGATGTGGTCCTGTTTACCGACGATCTGATTGCCGATCTGGCCCGATCGAAATGGATGGATGGAACGTGCACCTCAGATCGTCCGCTTTGTCGGCGGAATTTATTTCTCCCCATCCGCTTGCTTGACTTGAGATGGTGCAAAGAGTATGTCCTTACACCTCATGTTGCCAGTGGGAATCTCGAACTGATTACAGCAATAAGGGAAAAATTACTACACGAGTTAAGGGAAAGTCTACAAGCACTGTTTACGTTCGAAGGGCCGAAGAAACATAGACGACACGTAGGGGCAAAAGAGGATAGGACGTTGTTAGGCAGAGTCACTGGAGATATCCTTGAGAAAAAGGGAAGGACGTAGGGTGTTTGAGGGGAGAGAAAGGAAGGGGAAGAGAGCTGTTTCTGCACATAGTTTGCGCTTTAAGCACGAAGCGGTCGAACCTGACGTCTACAACTCGACGTGCTCGAGCACAGCACTCTTGACGACCGAAGCGACGCTCGCGACCTCGGATACGCCTTCGGCGGTCGTCCTCGTGGCATCATGGACAACGGATGATGCCTGACTGGCGGCACTAGCGATGGAGTTCGTGATCTGTTCGACGATCGGCGTGGCGGTGGCCGGGGCCACGAACGACGACACGGCACTCGCAGCCAAAGCGATACCTTCCGAGACAGCCTGGGTCGCCTCCGAGGCGGCTGATGCCACGTTCGAAGCCACACTGGCCACAGTTGACGTCGCCTCTGCCGCGACCGAAACGATCGTCTCGGTTGCCGCGGCGGCCAAACTCGAAGCGGATGAAGGAAGCTCATTGACGACGGTATCCGCGACGACGGAAGCGATAGAGGTAGCAGACTTCTTGGCCTGTTTGGTGACATAAGTCGCGGTTTGCGACAGGTCGGTAGGAGACGGATCGATGCCGACAGCGTGGAGCGCGGCTTGTGAGGCATCGCCGAAGTAGGACTTGACAGAAGCGGCTGCTCCATCAGCGGCAGAGACGGCGCGGTCAACGACATTCGTCGGGGCGGTTTGAGCTTGCTCAACGACACTAGTGGCCGAGGCCATAAGCACAGCCTTCGCAGGGGCGGCAAGGATGGAGCTCGCGGACTCTCGAGCCACCGCAGCCATGCTGGCGGCCGAAGCGGCGAGACCAGCTGCTTCCGAGTCGACACTAGCGTCTTGAGCGTTGTGTCCAGCGTCAACAACCTTTTCCACGACAGTATCGGGAAGCGAAGCCATTGCCTTTTGCGTGCAAAGCTCAAGGGTGGCTTCGAGCGAGTGGAATGCCGCCTCGATCCTCCCTCGAACACCGTGGAGGAGCTCAAGCGGATGAGTCTTGCCGAGCTTGGCGTTCGCCACTTTACCACTCTGCAGTCCCTCGTAGTCGGCTTGCCATTTCTTCTGCGCCGCGAGCAATCGGTGGTAGCGTTCCCAGTCTTGCGTCGTCGTCGATGGGAGGTCCGTCCATCGTTGACCGACGTCGTTCTGCGCATGGGTAACCTTTTCCTCGATCGCGCGCGACGCCTCACTGACGATCTTGTTCTCGTTCGTCTTGAGCGTTCGTGCCAACTTCTCCGCTTCGGTCCTCACGCCGTCGGCAGCCTGCTTGGATTTGCCCAGAACGACGGTGCGGAACTGTTGGCCTTTGTCGAGCTTCTGCTCCTTCGTGCGTCCATCGTCGCGCGTCAAGAAATCCGTCAGCTGGTCCGCCAGTTTGGCCGAATCTCTGCGCAGCTTCAGCAATGCGGGCTCGACCTTCTTGGTAACGTCCGAAGCGGTCTGGGATCGGAGGGCAGCAAGTTGCGTGGCGACCTTTTCGAAATGGGCCTGGCCGAGCTCGGCTACTTCTTGGTCGTACCGATCTTGCAGGGCTTCAACCTCGGCTCGTTCGGCAGCAGCGGTGTCTTGCACTTCGTCCACTGTGCCAGTTTCTACGACGTCCTCGGCAGGAACATCTTCTACAATTTCCACGATTATGGGGACTTGGTCCAGCGGCTCGGCAACGAAATCTGAGATCAGATCAGTCCTTGACGAGTCGTCAGTTATGCGTGCCCCCCCCCTAGGTCACCGCAAGACGCCTCTGAACTTACCAGCGAACGAATCCTCATCCTCGCCCTCACCGTCATCATCTTCAGCTTCGACCTCGGCCTTGGCGCGAGCCTCTTCCTCGGCAGTCATCTTCTTGAACTTGTAAAGGTGCACGCGCTCCGAGATCTTGTCGACCTGCGGTGCGATGTAGAGCTCGTAAAAGTGGTGCAAGGCCGGGACGATACGCTTTCGCCAGAATTGAAACGCATGACCACGTGCGACGACGACTTGGGGGTGCACGTGCGCAAAGTAGGTCTCGTGCGAGGTCTTGTAGGTCGACTGGGCCGTCGGAACCACGGTGTTCCAAAAGTGGTGGTGGGCAAAGGGGACAGCAGGTGCGACAAAGTCCATTGCTCGCTTAGACGAAGTACGGAGCACTCGATCGGCCGTGGCGACGTGGTGTTCGGCATTGGACTTGTACCAATCCAGCCCGGCGCGTGAATACCATTCGACACTCGGGGCGAGGGACCTCTGGTACTGTTCATGAGCGCGAGCAGCGACGGGTCGCGCCGCCGCTTGCGTCGCATGAATTCCTTTGACGAGACCAGGGTAGACGTAAGAGTCGTACACCTCGCTTAATTTGTTGGTGACGGGGTCGATGTACGAATCGACCTTGGCGTAGATCGGCTGGACCTTGGCGACGTAGGGCTCGGTGTATTTGTGAAACTCGGCGAGGTAGGGCTCGGCGTGACGATGGGCATAGTCGAGGTATGGGCGAGCATGGGGCTCGAGTGATTGCAGCTTCGCCGAGAAGACGTCAAGCTGACGGCATACGGCTCGTTCACGAGCTTTGTCGTTCGGGCACACGAGATAATACGCGATGAGAACGTAGAAGACGGCGACTCGAAGCAGGAAGCCCGTGACGGTCAGGCCTGATTTCCGCGACTGGGCGATGCGGGGAAAGGCAAAGTCAGCACTGGATCAACGAGTTGGCCCTGAGTAGGCAGGGATCAGATTCGGACCTTTGTGCCGGGTGCTGTCGGTTGTGGCCGGCGCGGTTTCGCGACTCGTTCACGTTCTCTTCTCTCCAGCTCGGCGTGCATCCGCTTGATCTGACGTTGTCGGCGTTCAAGGTGTCAGCATATCTGGAGAATTCCTTCGCCTTGCTCGCGCAACTGCTCTTGACTGACCTCATCATCCTGCGTCGAGGCCAAGTCACGACCACACCAACAAAGCCCACAGACACATGACGCGTGTTGAGAGACCAAGAAGGCGAGATGCGCGGTCAGTTGTTGACTCCACAATCGGACCGGACCCAGTCATTCCGACTGACAGCAAATCTGATCTGGCCATCGTACGCTCTCTGGGTCGCTACCGGTCGAGAAGGCGTCGACGACGACGATGACGAGTAGCCTCGAGGGGGCGCCGCAGCAGCGTTGGACCGTGGAGCGGTGCCGGACCGATTGACCATTCCCGTCTTGGGTGGTGGCGGAGGGGGTGGCTTGGGAGGCATCGATGCAAAGCAGTCGAGCTCGAGAGAGAATGTGTGCGGGAGACTCTGACCCGGTTTATCTCTCCGGGACGGCGAGGTGGGCGTGGCACAATAAAGGAGAGACTCGCGTCCTGGCCGATCTTACTTTGTTTAGCCTTGGCCCGGGGTGGAACAGGGTGGAACTCTCCTTGCTTTTTCCCTCTCCATTCTTTATCGACTTTTGTACGGAACAGCCTTCGATGATTGCCCTACGCCGCTTATCGACTTTCAAAAACCCCTCTCTTTCTCTGTTCTCCTCTCCCGGCTTTCTACGTTCTTTCATTGTCGCCTGATACAGAGAGAACGACCAGCCTCGGTGTGCTGCTTAACTTGGCACCCCATCAAATGGGGCACATGTTGGGGTTTTTTTTTTTGTAGAAAACGTTCATCATATTGCCCCCAATTCCTGTTCCCCCTGTTTCGGCCTACGGAAAAACTAGATGGAAGACTACGATGATAACACAAACCGCCCGCAAAAGTGCGAGAAACGAGCCAAGTCCACCAATCCGAGATTCGGATTCAAATGCCCTAGCCAAGCGGTTGCTCCCCCCCAGGAGACGAATGAGAGAGAGAAAGAGAGATGAAGAGAAAGAGAAAGAGAAAGAGAAAGAAAAGAAATGTACTAACGACAGAAGGCTGGGGGTGGAAGTGTGGGATTTCGATGTGCTTGCTTATTTGTTTCATGTGCACGTTCAGGCCGCGTTGCACAGCAGTCCCGACTGCCAATTGGAGTCTGTACTTTGTTTTCTCGTGATTTGGGTAGAGCAGAGTTCGAGGATCACCACCGTACTCGAATGCGGGCCTTTCGCAATAATCGCCTTTCATAATAGGTCTTTCATTTTCTATCTAATTGTCAATATGTCAAGTTCAGCTTGCCTATAGGACTGTTGGTAGTCAGGTAATAGCAACAAATTTGTCTCTTTTTTCCTCTCACGCTTGGACTTCGTACGTCGGCGCGGATTCGGCTGTCATGGCGTTGCTGGCTTTGAGGCTCGAGGTCGGAGATGTCTGTTGCTTTTTCATGGCCAAGATGTGATCATTTATAAAGAATCTAATGCAGGTCCAAGGTATAAGTGATTGGCGTCAGCGAGGGTGCCCCACTCCAACATCGAACAGTCTTCGAAATTCGGTGACTCACCTCGACAGGATCTCGGGAGCGATCTCTTTGGCTCCAGTGATGATGCCCAGGCATTGTGATGCACCGCACAGGCAATGAAAAGGTTGATCCATGTCCCATTCGGTCGAAAAGTAGGCAAACGTCATGATCTGCGTAGGACAAACCCCGGCGAACCGTTCCAGCAAGAATTCCATCGCCTCGCAGTGATTTTCTGAATAACATCACCCACCTCGCCCTGTTTGAGATCCTTCAACGCGACAACTTTCCAATCCCCACTCTTGTTAATGTTGAAAGCGACATTGGGTTCGCACGAGTGGTTGACGAAGAGCAAGTCCGAATTGAGCTCAATGTGGCGCAGCGCGTCGAGGTCTTGACCCGGGATCGGCGGGTCCGGCAAGACCTGGACGGACGAGTAGGCTTTTGTTCCGGGCAAGGTGTTTTCGATCGCGCAGATGGTTTCGCCCTTGGTGAAGGCCTATTGAAGCAGGTTGTACGTTTTGAAGACCAGACGGGGCGCAGTAATGTTGCGCCATTGATCGAGTCGTGTTGATAGCAGCGAGGCGAGCGGGCGGTTCGGTCATCAGAGATCGCAGAGACCGCATCGAATGTGGGGGTTGTCGAGCGGAGGCAGGATCGGGAATTTGCGAAAGTCAGAGAAGCGGTGCAAGACAGAGCAAAAGGATGTCAGCGAAGAGAAATATGGTACAGACTCGTACAAGGTGACTCTGCCCAAGTTTGGGACCCCGAGTGATATCACCGGATCCAATCACCGCGGGAGAGATGTCGGGTAAGATCGGCGTTGACGTTCCCCGGTCACGGACCGAACGATCGCTTTTCCTGACCCGTTCTCCGGAGTCCGAAGCTGTACTGCACTGCACTGCACGAGGGCGGCCCAATTTGGCAACACGTCCTTTCGAAAGACACATCAACTGACCCTGACGGTGCTCAAGGATGAAGAAAATTCGTCATGCTCGCCCGCAAAGTTGACCTTGAATAAGCTAGGATGGGTCGGCTTGTAGTCGTGCTGCGTGGGCAGGTAAGGCGGGATCGAGACGGGCTTGCTCGTGAGCGTCATGGCGGCGTTGGCGTGGGTACAGTGGAGCTAGCGTAGAGGTAGAGGTGCTGAAGAAGGTGTTAACCAATTCGACAGAGGAACTCAGACGTAGTGCAGTGGAGAGAGGCAAGAGGAAGGCGTAAAGAGCTGAGACGCGAACGGGGCGGGGCAACAGCGAGCTTCGGAATTGAATTCAATTGCTCGGCAAACATATTTCTTCCAATGTATCCTCGTTTAGTACCAATGGCAGCCCTCGTGTGTATGATTTTTAGTTCCAGACTAGGATATGACATCACTTATTAGACTCTGAGCTGAAGGTAGCTGCAGTGTGCACTCCCTTCTCGAGTCCGCCTTCAAGGCAAACGAACCGGCCGGCTACCAAAGCCGGTCCCGCGCCTCGCTCCATGGCCGCCGTCTCGCCTTCGCCGTCTCTGCACCGCCTCATCCTCACCCGCTGGCGTAACATGAGTGCCCGCCATCTCCGTAACAAGCCAGAGGACGAGGACGCAGCGCAACTCAAGTTCGGGCCTGGTAAGCCTTCTACAACGACCCACGTCGCAGCGATGACACGCTTGCTTTCCGGATTCTGGTCGAGTTGACACCCCTCGCTACCACTATATGACCTTCTACAGAGTTCTCTGGAGCGACTCAAGAAGCATGCCTAATGACGAGCGAGGTCAAGTTCTTGCTTGAACAACACGACCAAGGGTCAAGCAACCCGTTCGTCCTGCAACCTTACTCCAGTTCCTGACCTGGCCATGTGGTACACGATGGGCAGCAACACCCTGACCCCATCCTATATTTCGGACTCTATTAGTATTTACAAGAAGACGCTGCAATACGTCAATGACTTCTCGAGGTTCAAGGAATACGATACGACCTCCCAAGTCCGGCTGTCAGTCATTCCTTTGCACAACGCGGTGCAGGTCAATCCCCTACACGCAATCAATGAAACTGAACCCAATCTCGTCTATTATGTGCACAGAATCTATGGGGGTGTCGAAGGCCTCAACCCGTTCGAGATCGTACAACTGGCGAACCTGGTCCCGTCGTCGTACGAGGAAGCCAAGGCGTTGATCCCGAGGTAAGTCTCATCGAAAGCGCGACCCACCTCCTTCGAAGCGAGCACCAACTAACAGCAACTACACCGTCCTTTTACAGTCTCTCGAGCAAGAACGAAGACGAGCTGGAAGCCGCGATCCGACAGGTTGTTCAGATTCGCAAATACCAGGGCTGAACGGCGCAGTTTTGATTCGCTAATAGTCTCGGGTGGGTACAAGGATTGTCAGAACATGTTGTAACAATGACGAACTTCAAATCGAAAGTGGACGTTATGTCTGAGCGCGGTTCGCAGAGTCTAAAGCAGCGTTTTCTCACGGATAATTCGTTTTCATATTTCATTCTGAAGATTCGATTTGAGACTAGGCACACAAGAAGGCACATATAATAATCATTTGGGGCAGCTTTTGAGTCGTTCAGTAGTCGTTCGAGGATTGGTCGTTGGTCGAGCCGTACGAACCCTGGTTGTTCGAAGAGCCGTACGAATCCTGGTTGTTCGAAGAGCCGAACGAATCTTGGTTCTTCGACGAGCCGTACGAGCTATCATCGTTGTTGCTGCTGTTGTTGTTGGAACTGTAACCGCCAACGTTGCCCGAGCCGAACGATGCCGACTCATTCGAGTTGTCGTTGTTGCTCTGGCCGTACGACGAACTTGAGGAGTTCTGCTGACGACCACCGCTGGCACCGCCGTAGCCGCCGCCCGAGCTCGAATCGTCGTCGCCGTAACTGATCGACGTTGCACGTGATCAGCTGCAAACACCTTGGATCTGGATCTCGCACGTATACTGATGCATGCTCCTACGTACCCTGAAGCGGAGTTGTTGCCACCGCGGCCGCTAGTGTTGTTGCCGCTCGCACCAAATCCCGACGTCGAGTCGCTGTTGCCGTTGTCGTAGTTCGAAGAGGTGTTGTTCGACGATCTGAGAAGGGGGACCATCACACACGCATCGGGCATCAGTCATCGAATTGCATAGCGGGGCAAGCGAAATTGTGTCGCACCCATAGGAGTTGGACGAGTCTACGTTATTGCTCTGCTGACCGCCGTAACCGCCGGACGAGATGTTGCCGCTGTTGCCGTAGTTGCCCGACGACGAGTTGTTCTCATCATCGCTGACGAGAGGAATTTATAAATTACGATGAACCGGTCGAAAAGCAAGTTAGTGAACGTGACACCGATTGCCTGAGACCCGAGAGACCCGACAAACGCTCGATTGAGACAGGAGGTCGTCGTCGAGAGAGAAGCGTCAACAGCGATCGGCGCAGCACTCACCCGTACGACGACTGCTACTGGTTGCTGTACGAAGAGTTGTTGTTGTTGTTGTTGTTGCTAGTGTTGTTATCATCACTGTAGTTGTCACTTTGGCCACCTTGGCGGTTGTTGTTGTGGTTGACCTTGGAGGAAACCTGGTCGAGAAGGTCCGAGGCCTGCAATGACGTGCGAGGGGATGACGAGGTGAAGCGTTAGCACCAGGAACATGTGGGGCTCAACGTGGGCCGGGCATCTCCGGCGGCGACCTGTTGTCGACTTGACGACGAGGGTAAGAAGGCGTGTTCATGGCCTGACCTTGTTGAGGAAGCTCATCGTGTTCAGGTTTTGAAGAGGTGTGAAGAATGTATCAGAGGACGCTGCGCGTTGTGGCTGTGGGGAAAGAGAGGAAGAGAGGGCAAGAACAAAGTCGGAGGCGGCCGAAGGACCGTTGCGGGTGGGCGACACCTGACTGAGGTCATGCCAGAGGTGAGGGTTTTTAGCTCGTGTATGATCGAAGGCAACGAAACGGCACAGGGACCCGGAAATCGAACTAACGCGTTGTCAAAGGGGGTTTTAGAACGTGTCGTGGTGTCACCTTCCCATGACGCGACACTCGGGGATTTTCACTTCAAGCCCCGCCCGAATCGATGCGTCACCGGTGGCACGTGCAGATTTTATCGGGGCTTTTCACCTACTGAATGCACAGCCCTGACCGTTATTTCGTGCTGTACCTGTCTTATACGATATATGCAAGAAAACTGTAGGCGAGCACGTACCGTCTGGCTCAGGTACGAGATCGCAATGAAGACTCCAGCGTGACCGTTGGCATTCGGGCGAATCCCCGACCGGCGACTCCGGCGTGGTGTCGAGGTGGGGCTCCAGATGGACGCAGCCCTCAACCAACTTCACACCGAACCGCATAAAACCCGAGTTGCCCGCTCGTCAAAGCCATGTGTCCACTCAATTTGAAACAGAACATCTTCAATTCTCCCTCGTAGCTAGTCCATCGCGCGGGTTTTGCAGGGATCTAGACCCATTCTACGAGCCCAGAAAGGGCCTCACGGAAGTTCGGGAAGCCCCACCTCGACCTCACCCGACGTCGCCAGAAATAGCACCGCCACATTCAAGTCTAAGAAAGAAGAACAGCAGGGCTGCTATAGCTGCAGCCGCTAGTTTTATCAGCGTGCTTAGCCGTCGACGACCTTGGTTCAAGAAGTGCTTGTGTTTTCACTGCTGGTGCCCGGCCCGGGAGTGGATCGCCGATTCCGGAGGTGGTCCGTGCGCATTGTCGAGCCCTTTTTGGGGCGCCCCGGTTCTTTACTCCTTTCTTCTCCTCACCCTCCTTACCTAATCAAACACCCTCAAAAATGGTACAGCTGTTGTACACTCCTCCACTCGAAACTCGGCTCGAAGGTCTTGAGCTCCCCCAAGAGCTGCGCGACCTCATCACTTCGCGCATTGTCACGGTCGAGTCGTCCACTACAGATGATGACCGCGGCGAAGACCGTAGTAGGACCATCTCGCACGAGGTCCTTGTGAGAATCTCGAAATGGAGCAAGAAAGATGAAGATCGTTCAAGTGAGTCTGAGCATGTGATTGTGTCGCTTGAGTGAAAGACTAGAAGCTGATCTGCAATCTCTCTCCTATCAGGCCGATGCTCCCTCGCATCGCTCTTGGCGTTGACCGACGTGTATGCTCCCCCACTCAAGCCCAGGGAAAAGGTTAGAATATTTGAGCACGTATGTGATACTTCGTGTTTGGCTGCTCAATCGTAATCGGTCTCGATCGCCCTCACCCAGTCGCCGGAGCTCCTTGCGATCCTAGCCAAGATCCAGCTCGACCAAGATCGTGAATCGTACAAAGCCATGACCTCGACTGGCCCAACGTCCTACTACCGTTCAACATTGCCCATGAAGGACCTTCACGACCCCGAGTTCGCTGGGCGTACCACGACCGAAGCCGAGGATTGGCAGCTCGTCCGGAAGCAAGTGTCTGCGATCGCCAATGTCGGAGCGAGCATGGCTGCGGTTGGCACGGGAGTATGGTGGGTCGGAGGTGGGAGGACCTATGCTGCTGTGAGTCCCAAGCATGATACAAGGCCTACAGCAAGATCCACTGGCGCTTTCGCGTCTTGGACGATTCGGGCTGACTTGGAATCAGAGCTGGGTACCTCACAGCGCCTCGTTCTCGCGCTCACCGGAGCGGTGTTGATCGGGTTGATCGAAACCTTCCTGTACTATCGCTTCTTCACGCGAGAAAAAGGATCGATAGGCGTCGGATTGACCAAGACCAAGCGGTTGCGGTTCGAAAAGCTGGTCGTACCCGACGTATCGCCGTTCCTTCTCGGCGCACCGGAGAGCTCGGCGAAGGTAAGGGAGTAGTTGGGCCGTATTGCAACATAGCAGCTACCGTTGATCGGGCTATTCGCACATAGAGAATACGAAGAAAAGCGAGAATGCTCAAAAAGTGTCTGCTGTGTGTTTAACGTTGGAGGCAGAGGTTCTTCCACTCGCGGCGGGTGATCCTCGAGCTTCCTCGAAGGCCCAAGGTGGAGCACCTCTTTTGAAGTCAAGCTCGCGCCGCTCATCGACTTTTTGCCGCCACCTCCTCGTGTCGTCGTACGCTCGAAGAGACACTGTTGCACGCCCTCACACAAACACGCATCTCTGCTACGGCACTCATCCGTTGAACGCACTTGAAAACGGTGTTCATCCACGTGAAGCGCGCATTTGCTCAGCACTCGAACGACGTCATTTTCTCCCTCTCCACCGCTTGCCCGAAATGGACACCAGCCGAGGAGCGACCATCAACGGTCGACCGGTGCGTGACCCAGCCGAGGCAGCACGATGGATCGAGGGCGTCATCAAGGGTCAGATGGAAAAGGCTCTCTCTACCGAAGGTCAGTTGCATTGCACCCCTCTTGCTCTGGAGAGAGCTTCCGCCCTTGATCGTCGCTACCTCGCTTACATGCGATGCCAGTGCCTCGGAGCGTGACGGACATGACTTGACTGACGTCCACACAATCTCATCATCCCTAGACAAGCAGCTCTTGATGCAAGCCAACGCCAAGTTGATGGGGCACGCCACCCTCGGCATGTACATCGGCGTCCTCGTCGGTCCGGCCTACATCTTTCGACAGCGCTTCACCGCGGGCTGGCGAGCGGCGACCAAAGCCTCTGCTGGAGGTGGTGCCGGCGCGAGCGCGGTTACAACAACGACCCCACCACGATTGTTCTACCCGACCAAGGCTTCGGATCCGACGGGGCGCGGTGCGGCGAACGGGCCTCAAGCGGCCAAGAGCAAGATGACGTACATCGGTCGCGGCGTCGGACTTGGTCTGCTGGGCGGCTTCATCGGGTGAGTCTCGAAGTGTCAGAGTATTCGACAGCTCCAGTCAGTCCCGGATTTTGTAGCTTACCAACCGTAAATCATGTCGGGGCCCAAAGGAGTCAGATTGGTGTCGTAACGGGAACGCGAGCGGCGCAGAACCTGATCAAAGACTCGGGCCAAGAAGCGCGCATCGCGGCCAAACTCAAGAAGGCGATGGACCAAGCCGTGCTCGAGATCAAGCAAGGGAGTACGGGACTCGAGACGGCGTCGAACCCTTTGTTGAAGCGCAGCAATCCGTTCGGGAGCGTGGGTAGTGAAGGGTCGTCTGCGATCGATGGACCTCCCGGTGGTATGGTGGAAGATGTGGCCCATGATGATGCAGCTGCGGATGATCGAGATGCGTTCTTGTCGCGTGAGTTCATAAAGATTTCGCAAGCTACTATATATGCGCACTTATGCTTTCCGTCCTCATGTCTCGCAGAGGATGGGAGCGTCGCGCCGAGCCGACGAGCACCGATGTCTCGATCTGCCGATCCCAATGGCGCGCCCTCACGATGGGAAGAACTACGCAAGTCACGTGCAGCACCTCTTTCGTCATGGGACACGATCCGCGAATCTTCTTCTCGTAGGGACGTCCCCTCGGCCGCTCCTGCGGATGTGAGTTCAGGCGATGGGCAGAACCAGGGTCAATTACCGAGCATCGGGAGTAGTGCGGCCGATCGCGAGGCGAGGAGGAGAAAGTTTGAAGAGCTGATGGAGCAGGAGAGGCGAGGGGTCGATAACGTCGGCTTGGACCAGTCGTTCGACGAAAGGAAATGGAAGTGAGAGTGTTTTGCTGTTGCGGTGACGAGGCGAATGAACATGGATATTTTGACATTGCGGGTGGGGGTCCGAGCGTCGCTTGAGAATGCAACGCTAGATAAAGGATGGTGCACATCAGCTTCGCACACCTCCTCGCTGTTTTCAATCGATCGCAACCTAGAGAATGTCTCGATGTCCATGTTTTCTCACGACGAATACAAAGTGTGACCTCCTGTTGGCGATAATTAGCCGAATCAGTGGTGCCCGGATCGGTCGGTGCCCAGGCCGGCGTCGCTCAGTTTCGCAGACAGCTGGTTGCTCTGTCGGTCTGACTCGACCCGCACGTCAGTTCCACCCACTTCTCTCTCGCTCGAAGCAGGTGTTTTGTTCGAGTCACCTTTATCAACTCTCGAAAACCCGCTCACCCGAGCACCGGGCTGTTGTGCCAAACCATGTCGGAACGTAAAGGCCGTGGACGGGGTCGTCGCTCCGTCATCGACACGAGCGACTCCACTCCCGCCGCTACTGCATCACCCATCGCCTCGAGCTCGAAACAACCCAAGATCGAAGATGACGATGAAGACGCAGCCATGTTCGAGGATCCACCCGAGGATGTCGAGATGCGAGCTGCCGAGGACGCAGGCGATGGGGTTCCTTCGACAGGACCAGAGGCCTCCACCTCGTCGTCCAAGCGTATCAGTTCAACGACCACGTCCTCGACCACGCGAGCGAATCCGAGAGTCCGTCCTGTAGGTGGACTGCTGGGTGGTCAGAGTGAATACGTGCAGGATGCGTCGCGCTCGGTCACGCCCAAGTTGAAGTTCAAGCCCAAGAACACGAGGAAGAACAGGCCTGCCGTTTCGGATGATGAGGACGAGTCAGTCTACCGATCTTCATTACGTCTATGTGATAATGCAGGGACGTCTGACTTCTTTTTTTCTCACTTTTGTACCTCGACAGCGAGGTCAAGATGGTAAGTTGATTCGGGGCCAGTCAAATAGGAGCGAGACAAAATTTCGTCTCCGTTCGGAGATGGCCAAGGTCACCTGTCTCGCGCCGAATCAGCTTACTTACGCAGACCGCTTTCGGTCACACTTGAACAGGAAGAATATGACAATTCGAGGTCCCGAGGTCGTGGTCGTGGTCGAGGAGCGATGGCCCCTCGTCGCGAACTCGAGATGACCGCCAGCGGTCCGATGGCCCAAGGTCCTGGTGGAGCTCGTGAGTGATGTCGACGCTATGAGATCTTGTCTCGTGAGGACGACTACTCAATTGCAGGAACAACACTCACAGCCAAAGGTTTCGGAAGCAAACGAACGTTCGGAGCGGCGGGAGCAGGGGTGATGAACGCCTCTCGTGACGGAACCCAACTTTCGGAACGTAGGAACGACGCGACGGATGACGACGACGAAGATGACGTAGCCGAGGAGGAGGACGATGGATCCCACAACGATGGAGGTCGTCAGAACGGTGGGATGCCTCCGAGCAGTCGCGAGCTCGATTCGATCGGTCGTGAGGATGAGATGGCGCCATTGACGCTGCCGAGGGATCCTCGCGTCGAAAAATTGGCCGCTGAACGTAGGAAGGAGCGTCAGCTCAGAAAGGCCAAGGCCGAACGTGAAGGTGCGCTCAGGGCTGTTGTGTTTCAGGCGAATTCAGGCCCAATAGATCAGAAGTTCTGAGGGCGTTGACTTGAGCACAGCCGAAATGGACGTCAAGGCCGAACCGGGCGACGATTCGCGAGCGTCGTCCATATACCTCTCCTCTGCGACCGCGACACCGGGCTTGGAGACCGAGTCCAAGGCCGATTCGAAGACGACCTTGCTCGAAGAGGAGACGAAGGAGGCCAAGCCGATCAACCCCGAGGACACAGACCTGCGGCCCTTCTTTGATATCAAGGTGGGTCCGACCTAGGAGTCCGCGGGCGAAGAATTGAATCTGACTGAAGCTGGTACCCGCGGTCCTTCCCTCAGACAGGAGAACCGGATCAATTGCACATCATGCAATTCCCTCGCGTGTTCCCCAAATTCGTGCGAGCCGACGGAACTTCTCCACCGGAGAACAAGGACGATAAGGCGGACGTTCAACCTCCCGAATGGGGTCGAGCCGGAACGCGCAAGGAGAAGGCGGCGAGGTACAGCAAGGAAGCGGGCAGGATCGGCGAGATGCGTATCCACCGTAATGGCAAGGTCACATTCAAGATCAACAATGATCTCATTTACGAGGTGAGCTTCAGCATTTATTTTCAGACCTCACCGTTCTGATCATCATACCTATCCTTTGCCTATCAGGTCCTCCCCGCGGCCCAACCGACCTTCCTCCAAGAGATCGCCATGATCGACCATCCCGACCTGAACGACCCTCCCTCCCCTACCGACCCAGACAAACGCCCCATCCCAAGCGTCGTCATCCTTGGCCAAACGTACAACAAGTTCATCGCCGCGCCCGAAGCGAGTTATCTGTTGGGTCGTATCGCCGAACAGGATCGGGAGGAGAAGGAGGCCGAGATGAAACTCAAGGCGGTCAAGAGGGAGTCCAAGGCGCATCAAGACGCTCGAGAGTGAGGACTTGGGTGTGCGTTTCTATCGCATTTGCTTTATGCACTCGTTCGGTTTCGTCGCATTTTCTCCTTCTTTCTCTCTGGTGTTTTCTGTCCCCGCACGAGTAATCTTGAAGGGGTTGCAATTGCGGGTGTGGTGTACAGTAATTCTTACAGCGAGCCGGAAGCTGTCATCAGAGGTAATAGGCTGCACGATCCGCTCCGACGCCATAGTCCTTGAGAGCTGCCGAGAGGTCGTCCATCGTAAGCACGGTCCGCGTTCGACCCTGAAAGTATGCAGGCTGGGGATGAGTATCCATCCGGTCGAAGCTCGGAAAACGAGAACGCCGAACGAACCTTGGCTTTGGACCCTGAGCTCTTGCTCGCCGCCGTCCTTGCCCTTGCGTACTGGAACGAATCGGCGGCGATCGAACTGACGAATCGTTGTGCCGCAAGTGCCAGTAATCGTTTGCTGTGGACACCACCACGAGCCATTTGTGAGCTCGGCAAGGAAAGCGCGCGGACCCGAGTCAACTCCGATCGAGACTCACACCCGCGGATCATCCGTCTCGAATCCGTTCTTTTGCAAAAAGTAGTCGGTCACTTCGTCCGGTATGATGGGTTGCCACTCGTCCATCATCTCGAGCAGTTCGGCGAGCTGCACGTCGCGTTGGTCTTGGGCTCGCTCTTTGGCCGTCTTGGGTTCTGGAGCGGGTTCTTCAAAGGGCTCGGGTTGGGTGGTGGGTGGTGCTCCTAGAGAGGAGGTTGTGTCGTTGGCACTTGAGAAAGTGGTGGGGTCGGAGCTAGAAGCGGATGTGGATGCGAGGAGAGAAGGGTCGGCGTCCATGCCGGAAGGAGCAGCGGACGAGTCACCCGCACCGACGCCGTTGACGTTCGTGGCTTGACTCGTGCTCGATTGGGGCCAGTTGGACAGTGAAGGAGTTGGTGTGGTGACAAAGGCCGAAGGGTTCATGGTGGGTGGACAAGTCACGCGTAGAGAATGGGGTCGAGGTGCGGATCGGGTGCGTTGGTCGTAGTGGGACCTGTGGGGTGCGTGCGAGATGTGGATTGGGCGCGAAAGTGTGGCGACGGTCGAGTGTACGGAGGGAGATGTGATTGTGGGTGGTGTCCGGGTCGGAAGCAAGCGTCGATGACGGCAAGCTGCGCCGCGCCGCGCCCCGGCCGGGCGAGTGAGTGGTGTCAGGAGGTTCGTGCGCGTCGGCAATTGGAGCGGCTAGCAAACCATTATTCCCCATTACACCTCTGCGCCTTGGCAATTTCGATTTCGAGGTCCGCTCGAGTTCTCTCGAGTTTCGCAGTTGGCCAGGCGCGAGCTTGGCTTGTCTTGCTCCGTCGTCTGTCTACTCACCCGTCTTCCCACCCCCTCAACCCCAAACCAGGTCAGTACTCTTTCACGAGGCTTTGGATGGGAAGACCCAACACTCCTTGCGCTGTGGCTACGGGTGACGGGTGACGGGGCGTGGGTGTGGCTGTGGCTGCTGCGTCGTCGTAGCGAACCACCTCGGCCGGCCCGCGTCTTTTTTCACCCTGGGCCTCAGCCGGCCTCAGCCAACTCGCGGGCGCACTGCAGCTCGCATTGCTGCATGTGCTGACCCGCCTTTCGTTCCACCACCACAGTCCACCGTATCTCAACAATGGCACCCGCTGCTTCCAAGAAGGCCAAGAAGTCGTCCTCGGACAACATCAACACGTGAGTCTTCATCCCCCGCCTTGGCCTCGGCCCTGGAGGCTGCCTCTGAGCCTGGCAGTTGCGCCGGCCGTGCTGTCCAACCGCCACCCGCCAGCGCCGGCCCACCCGCGTGATCGAGGGCTGGTGCTGACCCACCACACCCGCCCCGCCTCCTTCAGCCGTCTCGCCCTCGTCATCAAGTCGGGCAAGTACACCCTCGGTGTCAAGTCCACCCTCAAGGCCATGCGCTCCGGAAAGTGTGAGTAGTCGACACCATTCACCATGCCGTCTAGATCCACACCACCCTCGCCGTACTCACACCACCCCCGTACCCTTCCTCCCCACGCAGCCAAGCTCGTCTTGATCTCCGGTAACTGCCCCCCTCTCCGCCGCTCCGAGCTCGAGTACTACGCCATGCTCTCCAAGACGCCCGTGCACCTCTACTCTGGCAGCAACGTCGCGCTCGGCACCGCCGCCGGTAAACTCTTCCGCGTCGGCGTCATGTCGATCGAGTCCGCCGGTGACTCGGACCTCCTCTCCGTCACCAATGCTTAGTTGACTCTTTGGAGCGTTGTCACGACCTTGGTCACTCAAAATGGAGACGCATCTCCAACCCGCCTCGACCGCCGCCCTCCCTTCACTTCTTCCACCGCCCACACCCCACCTTTACTCTCGATGGATATCCGCCCCCCGGACGACCCTCTTTCTTACCGGTGTCCGACTCGTACACTCTTTCGCACCACCAATCTCCGGGATCTCACTCCTCTCTTTGGCGTAGCCCCTAGTTATTGACGCGCAAGATTACATGGACCGGAACACCTCTTTCCAGAAAGTGGACCGCCCCAAATTTTCATCATTCACCTTGAACAACGTTCCGAGAAGGTCACCCTTTGGGTGGCTGGAGATCGTTGCTTCCTCTTTTTCTCTTCAGTACGTATCCTGGGCGCATATTCGAGAGACTGAAAATTCGCATCCCCGGTGTTCGTTTGGCTTTTCATGGTCGGGAAAACGCACTTCTCCTTTTTTCGAATCTTTTCGGTTTTGGTACACTACAGGAATGGCTGTGAATCGCAATGCATCCCAATCGTCCTTATGCTCTTCTGTCCGAACCGCAACTGAGAGACTCGGGAAAACACTCGAGAAAGAAGTTGGAACGTAGTGTGTCTATTGCAATCCGGAAAGTAAGAAAGAAGATTTGAAGAAGGAAGAAATGATCAGGATAATGAACCCAGGATCACGAAAGGAGTCGATAGAGACCGAGTATTCTAGAATAAGAGATGGGATACGATCGTCCAATCCAAGAGTGACCATAAAGCAGAGACTTGATCGAACTTCATCTATCAAAGCTTGAACAAAGTCTTGAGCTCGCGGATCGTATCGGCGGGGCTCTGTACGGCATGCCCGATCGTCCTCTTGTCCTCGTAAATTTCGTAGTCGTTGCCTCCTTTGTAGGTCTTGTCGCCAAAGAAGTGGATCTCCTTGAAGTTCTCCTTCTCGATATGTTGCAGGGCGTAGGTCTTGTCCCAGCCATGGGGGCTGCGCAGAAGAGTGAAGAAGGACAAGATGAGCGATCGAGTTTCGGCGGTTTCAAACACAAAGCTTTATGACCGCTTGAAGGCGCACAATACATCGAAAGAGATCTGTCCGCCGATCGAGTAGGTCAAACCGTAGTCGGCGAACTCCTTCTTGAGCGCCTCGACGAAAGTCGCGCGGACCTTGGACTCCTGTACTCGATTTCACAGAGCCGAAAACGCGGTTACCATTAGTATGGTATCGTAGGTACGCTACAAATGATTTCTCATGACTGACCTTGTCGTATTTCTCGAACTCGTCACGCTCCTGGACGCTGTGAAGGACGAAGAAATGTGCATGAGATTGGGTGGCGCTCTCAGTACGAGAAAGAGCAAGTCGTACGAAGCATTACGGCCGATGGGAGAGACGCTGTGCGGAGGTCGAGAGACAGAGTCAGCGAAGAGGTTCTTGACAAGAACAGTCAATGAGAAGGGACTGACTTGATCATGCCGTTGCGGAACTCGATGAACGTTCCTCTGCATTTGAAAGAGCAAACTCGTCAGCTCATGGGTCATCGCATCCAATCGCAACCCCTTCCCCCTTTTAATCACAACTGACCGCTTGATGGGGATATCGAGGTCGGCGATGTAGTGCAGGATGAACCTGACCATCTTCTTGTACTTCTCCTCGCCGATGAACTTGATGAACGAAGCCGAGTCGAGCTCTTGGCCGAGCTTGATCGCGGTCAGGCCGTTCTCGGCGAAGCAAAAGTCAAAGTCGTCGGTGACTGTTGCAATATTGGAAACAGGTGTCAGTGAACGGAACGTGGCTCGGCGAATGGGGTGAGCGTCACACCGAGGCTTGGCTCGACCTTTAGACGGGTCGACAGCCCTCGCAGGTAACTCTGTCCGGGATGATCCTCTCCGGGGATGAACGGTCCCGAACTTACTGTTCTGGCCATGAACAGCGAGCTGCTCGGTGATCTTGGGGAGATCCGAACCTCCGACGAAGCCGATGACTGCCTTCGCTCGGACCTGCTTGAGCACTTCGAGGATCTCGGGCGAGGCCGTCTGAGCGAGATGGAGGGGTTTGGAGATCAGGTCGTCGGTTGTTGGAGGAGACGATGTGGGTGGGTGTGCTTACTCGTCGAGCAGGGGTCAAAGTACCGTCGACGTCTGATAGAGAAGAGGAGGCACCAGAAAAGAGAGCGCGCGAGTGAGGAAGATCAGTTGGTCAGAGTCAGTGAACTAGCGACTGCGCGACGCGCGATGCCCGGTGAAGCAGAGGCAGAGGACACGTACCGAACAGGCACACGACATCACCTTGGGGGCGTTCACTGAAGGGGATGACGGGGGACATGATCAGGTGGTGGGTCGTTTGCTTGGGAGAGGGCAGAGAGCGTGAGGGGGAGCGAGGGAGAGAGAGCGAAAGGGGCGCCAGCTGGACGCGTGCGAACTTGAGCTCGCTCGACGTGGCGTGGCGGAGCGTGGCCGCAGGTGGCGGCTTGTCTGCCGCAAAGCCCGGCTCGATGCGCGCGTGGCAGCAGAGTCAATTTATCCGGTCGCCGCGGAGCTTTGGAAGCACGTTCGACCGAACTAAACATTGACCAGCTTCAATACCGATGAGGGTGCAGACATGTTTTTCGTTTTATCACCGAGTAAAGTACTGGAATTTGAATGGGCAACCGGCGGTAGGCATTGATCAAGATGGAATAGCGTCGATCGGTCTTACTCATACTCACCCCTTTTCCGTTCGTCATCGCCCCTCCCCTCTCCTTTCGATTCCGCGGACATGAGGTGTCACTCTCAAGAACTAGAGCAGAGCGAGCATTATTGGGCATTGTGAGGCTCGCGAATCGAAACCGTACAAACAAGTGTCTATGGCAGCAGGCCGGACCCTGAGAAGCATTCTGCAATGGAAAGCGCCCGTGTAGTTCCGCACAGAGGTCTTCTTCCCTCTATCAGCGAACCGAAAGCGCTTTGAAAATCAAGGAGCAGTAACCAGCGATTAATGATATTTTCTACATAGTCCGTCATAGTGCGGCCCATACCCCATCCGTCTTCTGCATGGCAAGTCGCATTAAATCATAGGTTGAACAACTTCTTGAGTTCCCTGATCGTATCCGCGGGACTCTCGACCGAATGCCCGATCGTTCTCGGATCCGTGTAGATCTCGTAATCGTTCCCACCCTTGTAAGTCTTGCCGCCGAAGAAATGGATCTCGCGGAAATTGTCCGCTTCGATGTGACGCAAGGCATAGGTCTTGTTCCACCCGTTGGGGCTGCGGCCAAAAAAAGAAGTTACCCGTCAGGTCTTGTATAATTCGAGCAAGACATTGACTTTGGGAAGAGACACAACGTACAAGACATCGAAGGAGATCTGACCCCCAATCGAGTACGTCAAGCCATAGTCGGCGAACTCCTTCTTGAGCGCTTCGATAAACGTCGCGCGGACTTTGGCCTCCTGTGCACGACGAAAACGTAGGTTACACAGGTCGGGTTGGTTAAAGTTTGGGAGTGATAAGCTGCTCGTAATGTATGTGTCTGAGCTTACCATGTCGTATTTCTCAAATTCGTTGCGCTCTTGAACGCTGCAGAAAGAAAATTTGGGGTATTGAGGCTCGTTTCAGGCTCAGGTCCGAGATTGGACGCACGAAGCGTTACGACCAACGGGAGAGACACTGTGATGTACATCCGCACCGAAAGTGAGTCCTAGAATGCCGCTATGTGATGCAAGAACATAGTCAGGAGCCTTGACGCACTTGATCATCCCATTTCGGAACTCGATGAAAGTTCCTCTACCGACGTCCGCGCCCAGGGAAAAACCATTAGTTCCCGAAACCTTCCAACGAGCCTCAGACGTGTCAGTGCTCACCGCTTGATAGGAATGTCCAAATCGGCAATATAATGCAAGATGAACCTGACCATCTTCTTGTACTTTTCCTCCCCGATGAAGTTGATGAAGGACGCCGCTTCCAGTTGTTTGCCGAGTTTGATCGCGATCAGCCCGTTCTCGGCGAAGCAAAAGTCAAAGTCGTCTGAGACTGATGGGAGGGAATGGGAGGAGGGAGAAAGGATTAGATATGCCTCCCAATTGAAAGGTGCAGGATGTAGATCAGGCTTGATCTTTGACGAAGCGAGCTTTCGCGGAGTCCGCCCTCTGGTTCCTACGCAGTGTTGCGGCCAGAACATAACGACTCACTGTCCTGCCCATTCAACGCCAGCTGTTCCGTGATCTTACGCAGATCTGAGCCTCCCACGAACCCAATGGCGGCTTTAGCACGGACTTGTTTGAGTACTTCGATGATTTCTGGGGAGACGCCCTGGATTGTGCACGCGACGAGGAGGGGCCCGAGGGTTCAGTTGAAGGATACGATTTCAACTTAGGTAGAAGGATGTTGATCGTCAACGAGGGCGGACTTACTCTTCGAGCAGGAGTAAGCGTATCATCGACATCTGCGCATCGGAGATTCCAGAATTGAAGATGAGCCACAAAGTCTTTCAGTGAACATGGCGGGCGGTGCATCTCGGCACGAGGGCGACTCGGAGGGGTGCGTGACGTACCGAACAAGCACACGATATCACCCTGAGGTCGTTCATTGATGGGGACGACGGGAACCATTGTTGGGGTCTCAGATAAGTGGTATCGGGGGAGTGAAGATTAGAAGGACAAACACCAACAGCTGCCTTAGGGCCCGTGAGGACCAACGGTGAGGTGGACGTTTGAATCGGGATCTATTTTGGGTGCCGCAATTCGGACGCGATCGAGAGAGAGCCCTTGGCGCGTCGCGACGAGTTCCCAACCTGGTACCGAGGACGCTCCCGGCTGACGTGTCCGTCCGACAGGGCACTTTCCCAGAACGACACAGCCTCATTCGACACAGAGAAGTAAACAGACTAGTGAATACAAGAAAGAAAGTTACATGTGGTCGGTACCCTGAATTGGGATCCCCGATTCTTCACCACCCCTCTTTCCCCACGTACTTCCAAGCCTGTCCAAGAGCGTTGATGGTCCAAGCGAATTTCTACTCGTCAAAGAACGACGCCAAGTCAGCCCTATGCCGCTGCATCAATTAAGTACACGAGAGATGACATACGTAGTTTGGATAACTGATCGCCGCGTTCTTATTGAAGACTGTGAGCGTGGTGGCGAAGCTCGCAATGAGCGCGGATACAAACCGATTACTGATCGGAGCATCTCCCTGGGCTCACCTCCTTCGATCGCCTCTTGAGGCCATTCGCCCGAAGGCAATTGTCTCGACATGATGAGACGACATCCTCGACGGATGGGTTCGGGATCGGGGTATTGCGCTGTAATAAGGCCGATCACAGCTGTGAAGGAAGTCGATCTTCCAGGGGTCAGCTCCTGTCATCGCCCGTGGGACTCGTGAGTTCGACTCACCCCAAGCGGTTTGCGTCACTTGCGACTGCGCATGATGGACGTATTGCTCCGTTTCGCAGGACTAAGAGGAGCAAAGAGAATGTAAGTTGAGTTATACTGAACTGCTCTGGCGACCGCAGGGGTGCAATCTTACCTTGTAGCTCTCGCCCCACCCTCCATCCTCCATCTGTTTCGACAACAAGAACTCGCACGCCCTCTTGACGCTCTCCGAGTTATCAAAATGTTCCCCAGCCAAAGAGAGGGACTCGATGGCGAACATCCCGGCGTAAGTGAAGCACTGGTAAGGCCAAGCTCCATCGCATCAGTCTCTGTTTGACCTCCCGATTCGGTGTAGCACCGGCTTACGATCGCCCAAGAACCGTACCAACTCCCGTCGGGGCGTTGCTTCTTGTGGATGTACTCGATCGCTCGCTTCGAGACGCGTTCGATATCATCTGCTCGATAGTCGGGGTGTTTTCGCTTGAAGATTGTGAGAGCCGTCACACCTAAGTCATCGCCGAGCGTTCGTCAGCAACTGCTTCATCTGCACCACCTAAGAAAAGGGCTTACAAGCCGTGGTGCATTCGGGGTACGAGTACTCGGTCATAATGTTCCCAAACACCTCCGCAGGGTTGAGCCACTCAAGCCAATGCGGACCCCTGATCAATTCGTATGACGCAAAACCCCCATCGGCATTCTGCATCGTCAGAATCGTATCGATCGCATCGCACAACCGTCTTTTCGAAACGCGTTCCTTGACCCCGGGTAGACCTTGCAGCATTATGACGGTCTTCAACCCTTCGGCAGTACAATCCGATACGGTGTAGCCTTGTTCTTTGGTAGAGAAAGGCCAGGCTCCCTTTGTGCGATGTCGATACGCTTTTTCGAAATGGGGTGGGTTCTCGCGGATTTGGGAATGGTCAAGCCAGTCGAGCATTTTTTCGAGACTCTTCTGGTTCGAGGGTTCGAGGGCGAGATCACTTTCGACGAGTGCTTGGCCGATGAAGGACGTGTCCCACAGTTGAGAGCCGTTCGTCCCTGCCGCAGCGACCCATGGACAAGGCGAGTGTCAACTGGTCTGGGAGGACACCATAATTCAAGTGGGTAGACTTACCCGTCATCATCATGCCCTGACTCGAAACCCACATAAAGTCACGAATGCAAGACAGATGGGCCTTGAAGGCATCACTGTCCGGACCCTCCTCGAGCCATCGACAAATCATGTGCATCGCCTTCGATACCGGCCCCACGGATTGATAACTCGTATTGTCGTCCTCCATCTTGACCAGCCCGTACGCACGTGCAAGTCCTCGACTGCGAATGAAGGCAGGAGCGAACCGATCGTACACGTTGAGGATGGCAAAGAGACCGTTTGCCACGGCCGAATGAGGAGCGTAGAGGTCGACGGGGCAGACGTTGTTGCGGCATGAGCTCCACTTGATCGACTCGTACGGCTCGACGTAAATCTCTTGTCGCAGGGAGAGGATAAGAGGGTCGAGATCGGCTTGGAAGTATCGACCGTTGAGGTAGCCCATGGGGATGTAGACGTTGCGGGTGTGGATCCACCAGCGATGAGGGTGGATGGGTAGGAATTCGGGCAGCAGCCATAGCTCGGTGGGGGTAGGGTTCAGGCCGGACCACGAGTGAACGTTGAGGATCGCCAGCCAGAATTTGCCCCATCTGTGAAATGCGTCGAGTCAGCAGAGATGTACGAGAACGGGGATTAATCACAATTGAGACCCACGATGGGATCCCAGTGCAGCCACCTGTGACCGCAAGGTTTGATCAGCGACCTGATTGACGCGGCGAGAACGGCGAGCTGCAAACAACGGACCTAGATGATGCAATGTCGCTCTTGCCCTGATCATCATAGGCTCTTCGGCATCGACACCGAGCAAACGCAGAGTGACATAGTTGAGACCTGTTCCGAAGACGCTTGACTGCGCTTCGATGTGTCTGCGGTGTGGGGAAGGAGGCGGGGTCAAAATCTGCCGCTAGCTCGGCGATTTGGATCTGTCTTTATGAGCTTACATCCCCCAGCCCTCGTCCCCCGGTGCATTCGTTCGTTGAATGTTGGAAAGATATCTGGGAGTAAAGCACAGCGCAGGATGAGCCCTGTGTGAACCGAAGAGTACGATGACGGAGCCAACTTTGCTCACCTCGCGATCTCGATCTTCCATTCCTCAGGTATAGGCGTCTTGGTGACATACATGGCGATGACAATACCGGGTAGGAGGAACAGGGGACCTATTTGGGCAATAGCGAGAAGTGAGTGCCAGAGCGGAAAGCCTAGCGAGCCGATACGTGCGACCAACTGACCGCCGTACTGCAAGCGCCCCACCCCACCCGGACACGTGAAATCGATCCGAAGGTCAGCCCAACGGAGGGACCGCCAACGAAGGAACGACACGTACCTCTCCACTCCAATGGCCATCGCTAGCCTGAATGCGCTTGTAAAACTCGAAGCCATTCTGTGCGGCCTTGTAAGGGTTGCCCCTGGGCTGCTCGAGTGGTGGCTGAGGTGCAGGCACGTCCAACCCGAGCCAGTACTTTGTCTCGTCGTTCTGCTCGGCCGCGAGTTGGTCGGTCGATCGTGGACCCCACACGGCCTCGTAGACAGCACTACTACCCGCGTCTTGAGGTCGATCGTAATGCCATACGTGGCGGTCTTGGGAGCTGTCCAAGCGCCATCGAGATGGGTCGGTCGCACCGAGTGGGCCCGCTCGAGGTCGCTCCGTCTTGGCGCGGGCAGTTGCCATACTTCAGGGGGCGAGGGGCGGAAAGGGGGAAGGGGAAAGAGACGCGAGCGTGTGTGGAGCCAAGGCGGCGGGGTCGCAATAAGAAGCAGTTGAAGCAACAGCAGGGCGTGCGCTACCTTTTGCGCTCCCTTTTCAACTCGGCGCTAGACTCGCTCTTACAGTGGTGCTCTGACCTGCTCTTACTATTATATTAGCTCTTCCTCGCGACGCGTATATTTGGCAAGTTCCTTCCGGCGCGCGTCGAATTCGCCGTTTCGCCGTTCGCCGTGCTCGTGCGGAACTCTTTCGGACTGACTTCTCCACATCAAGCGACCCGCATCCGCAGAACTACTCGCTGCCAATCTCTTGATTCCAAACGCGTGGTTCAGCTCACAAGTGGCCCAGCATGGCACGCGACGAGATGCTCGTGATCCTCGACGTGTCGACGACCGTCATACGCGCGGGAGTGGGAGTACACGAGATCATCAGGGCGCCCACCGCGGTCAGTTGGTCGATAGAGTTCATATGCTGCTCTCTTGATCTCGTCATGTGCTGAGCTCGCCTGTTCTCGGGTCTCACCTTACAGGAGGTCTCGACCCGTGTCGGCAAGCGGCCTAGCAACACCACCGCCTCCAACGGCTCCACTCCGACACCACAACTCAACGACTACCTCGTGGGGAATGCACTGCTTCAAGTTGAGCAATCGGGAGAATCGCTCGAGATCGTCTACCCCTTCCAGAACGGGCCGAGGGGGTTCCAGGTCGTCGACTGGCTCGCCACAGAAGCCCTGTTGTGCGTGGGCAGTCACTCCAGCATTTTGAAATGTACAATACTCATCGTTCGCCCCTTTTTTTTACAACAGCCGCTACATCTTCCACACCGCGCTCGCCCTGGTCCGACCACCGTTGGCACACCCGTGTCTGCTCTCGATCCCGCCCCACCTCAACCCCGTCGTCGTCGACCACTTCCACGCCCTCCTCTTTGAGCGCCTTCTCATCCCGCAACTCCTCGTCGCCACCCGCCCCTTCTTCGCCGCCGCAGCAGCCGGCGTTCTCTCCGCCGCGATCGTCGACATTGGCGCTCGAGGCGACGGGCTCGAGATCTCGATCGTGCACGAGAGTCAAGTCGTCGAAGCCGCGACTTTGACCCTCCCTCTCGACGAAGGCGTCTTGGACGATTGGGCTTGCCTGTTGCTCTTGCAGGAGGACCCCACCTTGCCGAGCCAGATCGTGCCCGCCGATCAGAGCGGGAATGCAGGCGCTCTTGTCCAGGCCCTGAGGCGCATCGTCGAGCTGCTCAAGGCCAAGAACGTGATTGGGTTTGCCCCTACCGCGATTGGCAATGCTAGCTCAACCGCCGTTGAGGAGAACGAGGGCGAGTTTGACGTTGCCAAGGCAATCGTCGAAGGTAAAGTCGACAAGATTGTCGGCAAGAAGAAAGCGAACGCGCAGGACGAAGAAGCGATTGGCGATGTCATCGAACTACCGAGCCCTTTGGATGCGGAAAAGACGATCAAGGTTGGCCCTGCACGGAGAAGGTACTTCGATCCCCTCTTTGCCCCGCAGTTGCTCCAGCAGTTGAGACCGTCGGCGTCACCGGAGGCGGCCTTGCTCACTCTGACAGAGTACGAAGAAAGGGAAGTGCTGCATACGGGGATACAGGAGGCGATCGGACTTGTGATTAATCAGGTCGAGGATGTCGAGCAACGAAGACTGATATGGGAGTCCATCGTCATCGTCTCGGTTGGGAAGCTCGCGACGAATAAGAGTAAGCTTTGAAACTCTTCCGCCTTTCAACGAGGGCAGATCGACTGATCCACTTCCTGCCCAATCCCCTGCAGCCCTCGGTGCTGCATTGATACCCCAACTCGAACCTTACGTTATCGATCCTGACTCGGGTTCGGAATCGCAACCCAAGATCGTCAAATACGCGCGCACGCCCGACTACTTCTCAGAGTTCAAGGAACGGTCCGGCGAATTGGCCGTTTACCTCGGGGGTTGCATCATGGCCAAAATCCTGATCTCGGATCTTCAGTCGCGCTTGTTCATGGTCAGTGCTGCCCTTACCCAGTTTTTGCATGGGTCGCTTTGACTGACATTCTACATCATGGCATACCTCACACAGTCCAAAGTGGATTACACCAACAAGGGTCCGGCGTTCTACCGCCAGCTCGAAAAGACCATGTGAAACAGCTAAACTCGAGGGGGAATTGGAATTGCAGGAATGACATGTTGGAACACGAAAATTCGTATAATTATCAGTCGGCTTACTTCTTTTTCCTCCTCTGCGCCGAATTGGGTGTCGAAGGGGCTAACGTCGGAGCAATGATCGTCCCTCCCGCCGCTTCTGCTGCCCCACCCTGAGCCTCGATCTGATCCCTCGCTGAAAGCGCAAACATGACATCCCTCATCTGTTCCCTCAAATCATCAACCTCAGCCCTGACTTGCACCGTCTCGGCCTCCCTTTTAGCGACTTCGGATCTCAAATGCCCCAAATTCTCCGTCAGCGACTTGGTCACGGCTTTCTCCGATTCCAATTCCTTCTCCAACTGTTTCCGCATCTTGGTCCATTCGACCTTCTCCTTCTTCCTCCTCGATTCATCCTCCCCAACCTGTTTCTGCATCGCCTCGAATTTCACTTTCCAAGCGCGACTCGTTTCCTCCTCCCTCGCCTCAATATCTTTGACCCGCTTGACTAATTCGTTCCTTTCCCCAACCCACCCTTCACGCTCCCTCTCAAGCCCCTCCCGTTTCTTCCTCAACTGCGCAATCTCGTCCTTATCCCTCGCCATCTCCTCCTCATAATACCCTCGTTGGGACTCCAATTGACTCGTCATCAGATTCGCATACTCGACCCCCATTGCCTCCAACTTATCCTGCGAGGCCTCGGTACTTCGATCAGGTCCACCTGTACCCCCTCCTCCGCCACCCGAAGTCGAATTCGACCTCGCGCGTTGTTTGTGCTCCAGATTCGCGTCCGTCGATCGTCCATTGTTGCCAAACATGGAAGGCAGTTCGACGAGTTTGCCGTCCGTGCGCGAACGGATCAGACGATGAACGTATTCGTCGTCGGCGTAACTCCATATGCGGCCAGTCTCGATCTCGAGCGAGTACCTGTGCCCGCTTTCTTCGAAATGAGAGTGCGCGTGACCGCCTTGGTATCGCCCACTATAGAGAGTGCTCGCTGTTAATAGAAGTCACTCGTGAAGTTCGGGTAGAGTGCGACGTACCACCCGACGTTGCCACAGATGACGCAGATCCAAAGGTTCGCCGGCGATTGACACACCGTGCAGAGAGAAGGTGGAGGCGCCGTATTGGTCCCTCGTCGATTGCGAAGATTCGTCTGTCGACAAATCGGGCACCTAGGAATGCACGATACCCACTCATCAGTGATCACCAACGTAGTCATTTGATTGCGGGGTTTCCATCGGGCTCACCTCGAATCGCCCCACTTTAGCAAACACTCGCAATGCGCATCATGAGAACAGAGCTGAGAGATGAGACCGCTGACGTTGGCGTCGAGGCGTTCGAGGCAGATGGGGCACGTCGGTAGCTCGACCTGATCGTTCGTATCCCCGTCGAGGTTCGAAGATGGGTAAGGGAACGTGAACGGGGGTGTCGTCGAGGTCTTGAGCTGGATGCTCGAGATGGGCACGACGTGACACAGTTCGGAGTCTTTGGTGTCGTGGTAGGGGCGTCCATTGTACATGGTACGGAACTCGGACGCATCGCTCGCTGTAGTTATAGCAGACAGAGACCAAAGGATCAGCACTCGCGTTCCTTGAGTTGCAGCAACGGCCTTCACGTACCATCTCGAAAGCGAATGAGGACCAGAGTTCGGTTAGGGGTCGAGTCTCTGCACACATCCGACCAGGCCGTGAGAGAAGCCGTTAGCGCTAAACCACGGAAGCGCTCTGAATTTGATACTCTGACCAAGCCCCAAAGCATACGCGAAACCCACCTCAACACCCTCAGATGCAAGACTGAGTCCAACGCCGGCGAAATGAAGGTCAACAGTGCCGCCGCCGTAATGATCCCAGGCACCGAGACGAGCCCCACTACAGTCCCAGCATCATCCTGCACTGCCTTGCGCTTCTCCTTTTCTGAACTTTCGCCTGTGACGCCACCTTCGCGATAGAGATGGATTGTGCCCCAGTACAGATCGGTCGTGCCTGATTTCTCGGGGGGTCGGATCGACGGAGTTCCGGTTGAAGTCGCTGGTGATTTAGGATCTCCTGATGATCTAGACGAGCGAGTGCGTACAAGAGGGGAGCCCGGGATAGACAGGTGAAGAGAGTTGCTCCCCGCTGGACTGAGGGCAAGATTCTCGATCAACGGTAGAGGCGGGGACATGGCCGGATTGTTCGGGGACGAGGACGAGGCGAGCGGGGCGTACGACAAGGGCGTAGGGTGATCGACGCAATCGATCGAGATGGGACCGAAACGAAAGTCGAGAGACGCCTTTTGGGTCGCCTGGGATGGTGTGAAGAGGTCGGCTGTAGCGATCAAAGGCGGGGCGACCGGTCCAGTTGACTCGGACCACACCCCACTCGAGGCGGTCGCACTCGTAGGCGGTCGACGTGGCGGACCCAACGTCGGTGAAGGAATCGGAGCACTCGAAGTGGTCTGTAGCTTCCTACTGATGGGGAAGTGGCGCCACAGGCTTCCTGAGGGGAGGACGAGCTTGCGGTGCGAAGCGAGCAAGTCGTGGTCGAGCGCCGGGGGAAGCCGCGTACGCGTGTTCGGGTACAGCGGCGAGGGCTCGAACGTCGTCGAGGTGTGGTCGTACAGCTCGATTACGACGCTATATCTCCGTTCAGGTGCGGGCACGGGCATCCATGCGATGCAGAGGCGCTGTGGCCGAGAGAGGGACGAGGATCGGATGACGGTCGAGGGAGCGGGCGAGGCGGCACTCCAACCCAACTTTGGGGCTCCACTTTTCACGCCGACCACTTTCGCAGACTTTCGCCGCCGGTGCCGTCAGCGACCGAGTCACGCGCTCGGCCCGGGGCTGCAGTGGCATGCAGATAAGAGGTAAGGAGATGTCTAGACCCGAAGGCAAGGTAGAGACGCAATGGGTTCTGCTATTGGCACAAGATGATTACTCGAATACGCTACACTGGTTTCAAACGCCGTACGTCTACAGGGTATGACGACAAACTCGGTGAAGATTGTTTCTAGGCACAACTTCAGGACGAGAACACTGCTGAGAGCCTCTTCTCTTTTCCCCTTCACCGCCTTTCCTGCATGTACGTCCCTTCCTCATACCCTCCTCCCTGGTGGTACAACTCGGGTCCCGGACCACGGCGCTGTGGCGAGTGGTGCGGGTGCTGCGAGTGGGGTTGCATAAGCACCGAGGGCTGTTCGTACATCCCCATCGGCGGCTCGGTCGGGATTCCAGCATGCTGCAGGTGAGGCGAAGGGCCTGGGGAGCGTTGGTAGTGTTGAGAGTGGGGGTGACCATGCTCGGGTGACATGTGGTGCGGATGTTGCTGTTGCGAATGGTGCTGTTGCATGCCCGGGTGCTGCTGCGGATGCTGTAGGAAGGAAGACGCAGGGGCTCGCGTCAGTCACTACAAGCTTGAAGCGGTTCTGGCTGGGTTCTGCTCAGCCGACTCACCATCCCATACTCGGCCGAGTAGTTATGCGGGTGATGCGGAGGGTACACCGTATGACCCTCGGGCGACATGTTGGGAAGTCGTCCAGGGGACATGTTGCGCTGCATCATGTACGCATAGTCTTGCGAGCTCTGCATGGTTCCTTCGGGGCGGTCGCTACTGGGAAGCGCAGGTGAAGTATATTCGCCGTGGATTCCAGGAGATCGCTGCAATGGGTGCAAGCGTTGCGGGGTGTGAGGCGGAGCCGGCAGACCAGAAGATTGCTGCTCCGCGATCGCAAGGTTCATCCCCGACGAGTCCGGCAAGGTCTCGGGCGCACCGGTGAGGATCGCTGAAGGGCGGCCTTTGCTACGACCCGAGGGGCGGTGGACACGTGTTCTCAGAGCAATTTGGCCACCATGGATCGACGAGTTGGCTTCAAAAGGTCGCTTATGCGCCGAGGGCGGCAAAGGGAGCAAAGGTCCGTCGGGGGGAGGCGAGATGTAGTCGCTTCCATCTTCGGGAGTTACGGCCTGAGAGGTACGGAGAGATCAAGTCAGAATCCCCGAAGCCCGGAAAAGGTATCTATGGTACCTCCTTCTGCTGTCACGGCTCCAATGTGTACTCACCAGACATTGCTGAATTAGACGCTGACCCTCGGAGGGGTTCCCGTTCTCCGCCGCCCCCACCAGGGGTTGAAATTTAGAGGTGGTCTGGGGGACAGAAGGGTCAAATCAGCTTTTCGAGTGACTTCGACTTCCCTTAAAGACCAGAATGACTCACAAAAGTGTAAACCTGCCGGTAATAAGTGATGCGCAGTCGAAAACGGAGCAGAAGCAGAAGCAGAAGCAGAAGCAATGTCAGTTCCGTCTTCAACCGCGAGGTAGTTGTGAAATTTTCCATCAAGACTTCTGCAGTCCCGAGTCGCACAGGTCCGGATCAAGGACTCACAATACCTGTTTCCGAGACCACCAGCAGAAGCACTTGAGTTCCAGTGAGCGTGGCTAGTTCGTATGCCTGCCGGGAGCGGAACGCAAGGATGGGTCAGTAAGGGACAACTCGCTCCGTCTTCAAAAATCCTACAATACGCACCTTCTTCATGATTCTGTTGGGTTGAGACGTATACCGAGACAGGCGGGAGAGAGGCGCGGAGTCAGTGTGGCCCCTCAAAAGCCTGCCGGTGACTAGGTGGCGGCCAGAGGAGGACGTACCCTGCTTTTCGCTTCGAGAAAGTGATGTGGCGTTTCTCCTTCTTGGTGATATATCTGGTAAGGGTAGACCAGACGTCAGTAAAATGGAAGAGTCCCGAAGAGACCCCGCCGTATCCTAGGCAGTGCGCCCTTGGCCCACGCCGACAGTCAGAGATCTCGCAAGTACTAACTCGATCTCAATTTTGCGACGTCCCTTCTCTCCACCATCATCGTCATCCATCCCAGCACGTTTCGTCTTCTTGCTCGGTCGAGAGTCATCATCTTCGTCGTCATCCGAAGCGGCATCGGGGTTGAATTCGCGGATGACGGGGGTCTTCATCACCGTGGGGCTGACCGTGGCCGAGAGAGGGACCGACATGTCGGAGCGGATGGGTTCAAGGGTGGGTAATCCCGAAGTAAATGGCGGGGAAGGGAGTTGTTCGGTTGAAAGGAAGGAGGTCATGCAGCGGCGCGCGCGCGCGCGAGCCGTAGGGGCGGCGGAGGGGGCCGGTGGAGGGAGGGAAAGCCGACGGGTGGAAAGGGGTTCCGATCACGTGCCAAGTTCACCGCACGGGATGTGATTGTATATTCGGGCTCGGGTGAAGAAGATGTTGTTGGACGGGCTAGGTGTTGACGGACGGGGATGCCTTAGGGTGATAAGCGCTGATGAGGTGAGGCCGAGGCAGACGAGTCGGGACGAGGGGGTGGTGCCGGTCGTGAAGCGGGTGAGGCGATCGAGCGAGGGAAAGAGGTCCAAGCGGGCGCGGTCTCGAAGACAATTGCAGATGGGCCACAGCAGGATTGCAAGTACCAAAGACGTGTCAAACGTCGGGCGTGGATGATTGATAGAGCGCAGGGAGGGCTCCTCTTGCAAGGGTACGAAGCACCAGGCTTGTACGAGCTCAAGGTTCAGCCGCGGGAATAGGTTGGCGCGAGAAGGCTTGCCGGTTGACGATGAAGCGATGGGCGGCCGCCGGGGTTGGACGACGTCGGGCACACAGGGAGCGGAGCTCGGTGAAGGTCGAGGTGAATTGGCGAAGGTAGAGATTTCGTAGAAGGTAAAAATCGAACAAAAAGGTGGTGAGGCTGAAGCGAAAGGGCAAAGAGTGAACCAACAGATACAAGTCGACGGAGCAGAGGGCCAAGAAGGACGAAGAAAGGAAGGCGATGCCTGATCCCGGATGCCCGAAAGCGCGCTGGCTGCTGCCTCGATAATGAAGATCAGCGAGCGCGCGTGCGCTGAAAGAGACCTTGGCCTCGGTAGTAGTCTCTTCGTCCACACGGCGCAGATTGTCAGATCAAATTTGTCAGCCTCCTTCGTCACGTTCCTACTCTCGATCTTTGCTTGAATCGACGGCACATGATGCATTCCCAGACCCCCCCCCCCCGCCCCTCCTCGCGCTGCAGGTCGCCGCCAGAAGTGCAATTGCAATTGGCTCAGCATCACGTCGGATCGAAACGCCGCTGCCCTCGACGAGGGGCTTGCTAATCTCGTACTGATGCCATACACCACGGCCGAGGTGAGGGGACACTGCGCTCCTACACAGCAGTTTTTTACCACGAGTTGTTGTTCCAATCGTTACATAGCATGTCCTGCCCAGTGCAAGAAGTCCTCGCATTTTGTCACTTGGGGGCACACTACATGCATTGCCACAGCCGACTAGTCAAGGCTCTGAAGCTCTGAAGCTCTGACTGCGCCGCCTCATCGAGGAAAGTCCGAGCCCAGGCTGCGTCGCGACGCGCTCAGTTGCGAGCGCACCTCCATGCCACCACCGAGTCTCTTTGGAGCCTGCACAACAAACAAAACATCCAAAGAGTCCACTTATTCCACTTAGGAATTCGGATCCCGAGGTGCCACGGCTAGCACAGTGGGAGAGGGCACGGGTTTCCCGCGCCGGACCTGCCTCTCCAGGAAGGACCGCGTGCAATTTCCTCACTTACTCGATGGGGCAATTTTGACTGCTTTGACTGCCCGCCGCCGCCCCCTTCCCCCGCCTGCGGCGCGCGCGCGCCTACGCTCAAGGGCTCGACTTGCCTCTTCCGGATGGACGCCCGTGCCGGCAGGCTGCATGCTTTCACGCGTTGGCCCGGTCAGCGGCTAGGGTCGAACGCCTGTAGACAGGGTGGTCCAGACCCTCTTGCTCGAATACACCCGTGGGACTATGTACTGCTGTCGTGGGTCTGGCTAGGAGGCCCTGGTTCCCGGGGCGAAACATGAAGACCGCCCCACCCGCTGCCCCTGGCTGGGGAAAAAGAGACCCCTAAAACAACCAGCCCCTTTTCGGGTTAAAAAAGGGAGGCGGGTCGCACAGAGCGATATTCTCGCTGACCGGAAGCCGCGTCGCGTCCCACGCAACTCTTGAACGACACGGTTCGGCAGCTCACAATCTTGTTTGGGCCCATTAAGCACAGCCTTTGCGATGTGGTTGCTCTGACTACCTACTTGTATATGTGTGACCGTCAGGAGGAGGTTGTCCGATCTGGCGCGCGATCGAACTCCCATCAGCGATGAGGGAGACCTACAAGAAGCCAAAATACTGTAAGATGAAGGCACAAGGAATTTACCGGAAGCTTTCTTCTTTGGGTCAATTGTGCTTTTGTGGTGGATTATAATGACACCTCCTGTTCGACCGCGCGCGCGAGCAAGCCGCGGTGCCCTTCCCGTCAACAAACACCAATACAATCACCCAATTGCCCTCCAGCAAATACACAAATACTCCAAACTCCTCACTCAGACCTCAGACCTCAATACTCCACAAATCCGCGATTTCTTTTTCGCTACACTCGAAGCGAACCACATGCAACCGCCATGGATTTCTTTACCTAAGAGGTTTTTGTAACAACATGACTGTATGAAGGCCTAAAGATCTTCGGAAAGTCCGGAGGAGGTGCATTTAAGCACACCGGCCATGCCAGTAGTGTAGGACTCGTCGGCCCTGTTGTAACAGAATCGACCATGCCCACAAAACCCCCTCGGGTGGTGTCACAAAGATATGAGGCGACCCTTGAACACCAGGATAGACACTCGAAGATCCTCGAAAGTGATGTCGGTCATCGGTTCCGAAGGTTCTGACGAGAATCGGCGCCGGCGAGAAAGCTTCCAGCTCGAGTGAAAACGACCAGTCGATGCTCCGAGTAGTGAGAGCCGACCGGTTGACCGCGAAGGGCGAGCATGGCAGCTTTCCCGATTTCCCTGACGAAGGTCTTGGCAGCCGGAAGGAAACAGCTGTTGTAGAGAATTACGTAGATGTAGATTTGTGAAGCAATAGATGTTGGTAACCGATCATTAGGCTGCGTAGGGGAGTTCAAACATCGGAATGGAGCGTATGCGAGCGATGGTCGAGACTTGACCTCCCAACCCGCATCCTCGGTAAGGTTCACCCCGACCTGAATACTGAGGTAGTGGGTTGCGAGTCGCTGAGATGTCAGGTCCCGAGGTGTAGGGCAATGGGATGGACGCTGAATCATCCGAGGCGGTAGAGGAACGATCCTCGTTGGCCGGCCTTTGCCCGTTCGCCCAACACCAGTGCGCAGGGCTCAAATCGCTCAAGCTCAAATTTATAGCAACTACCTCGGTCTCAGACGGCCGTGTGCACCCACTGCCAGGCTCAACACTAGAACTCGATCATGTTGGCCCTTTTTTTTCGGTAGAAACCTTTTTTGCTTTGTTTTTTGGGGGGTAGAACTTGTTCATCATAGTTTGCCCCCGGTTCATGTTCCCCCTGATTGGAAAAACTAGATGGAAGTCGACGATGATAACACAAGCCGCAGATGCGAGAAACGGGCCAAGTCCACCAGTCCACCAATCCGATACTTCGGATTCAAGTGCCCCAGCCAAGCGGTTGCTCCCCCCCAGGAGACGAATGAGAGAGAGAAGAGAAAGAGAGAAAATGAAAAAGAACTGGCGTACTAACGACAAGAGGCCCACCCCGCACCCACTTCCCAACTCGGTCGAGACAAAGACAGGAGAGCGACTGCGCAGCTACCCTGACCCGCGAAGTCCCCAAGTCTATGCTCGGTCACAACAAGACGCGGTGGAGGCCCCTCAAAACCTCCACCTCAGCAGTCCCTGGCCCCTCAAAGCCGACTTTCTGCCTGTGTCTGCTGATCCCTCCCTTGACTCAGAACCCCGAAGCCAAAGAGCGCGAGCCACCGTCGAGTCAATCCCAAATCGCGAGCCGGTCCATGAGCAACGGAGGCAGACCTGTAATAAAAGAAAGAAAGATGAAGAAAATATATTTAGTATACAGTTTTTGTAAGAGGATGTGTGCTGTGGGGTGTGTGAGTGTGGGATGGGGTGGGGGGAAATCGAACCCAGCCTCTACTGCCCTCGCCCGCCCCTTGCTCCCCCCGCCCTCAACTTCATCCTCTCCTCCAGTACCACCCTCCTCCGCTCCAGGCTTTCCATCCTCGTCCCGTGCTTCTGCATCCTCCATCTCCCACTGCTGATCATCTCCAAGACCATCCCCGTGAAGATCTCGATCGTCCTGCCTGCGCCTTCCTGTTCGCTGAGCTTGGCCTTGAGCTTGGGGAGGCCAACGAGTCGTTGTAGTGTCGTGTACTCGGCGTCCTCGATCGTGTCGCATCCGAGCGCGTCGCAGAGCACGCCCCTTGCCGCGGTCCAGACGTTCCGCGAGTCGACGCAGCCGAAGAAGTAGTGATCGGTGTCGTCCACCGGCGCTTCGCACACGAGGCACGCGGGAGAAGTGTCATGCTTTTGCTCGTGCTGGAGCTTGCGCGTCGGGGTGAAGCGGAGAATCAGCTTGAACCAAACTTCCCTCTCCCTCGCTGTCAGTGCCTTCGAGTTGACCGCCTTCCAGAAGCTCCTGAGATCGTCTGGCTGCGGTGGTCCCTTAAGCCCGAGCGTGTTGGTGAAAGCTTTCGCGTTCAGGACCCGGCGGATGCGACGGATTGTGTAGGGTCGAGCCATGTTCAGCAGCGTATACTGGCTCGCCTGTTGTGGAAGCACCGGGTCCGGAAGGCGCTGCTCCATTGCGAAGCGGGCCACGGGCTTGGGGATGATCGCCTCGAGCGGTGCGCTGGTGCCGATCCGGGGAGGCACGCTGAGTCGTCCCGCCGCCACCGCCGCCGCCAAGGGTGTGTTCTTGTGTCGATCGACAGTGAACCGGTACCAGGCCGCGATTGCCAGTCGCTGCGGGAGCCCGCGTCGATCGTACTCGCTGTTGTCGCCGAGCACATCCGCCGGCGGCGTCCAGAGGTGAAACCCCCCACCCGCATACAACTCGCGCCGATAGAGATCCGCCACCTTCGGGTAGCCCTGGAGACGAAGGTAGTCAGGTACATGAACCGCGTCGATGGTCTGTCTCCCTCTGATGGGGGTGTGGAGGCTGCCGAGCAGGGTGGGCAGCGCGAGCAGGTTCGCGGTGGTCAAGGCCCTCGGGTTGACCTGCACGTCGTGAAGTTTCGGAACGCCCAGTGCGGCGTGCCATCGGGGATGAAGGT